TACATGAATACAAATATACCCTTAAAAAGCACATCAGGTCAGCGCTGTGACGCTCTCTTTGACGCTCCTCGAATCAAAGTATGACGAGTTTATTTCATTTCATCAAACCTGCTGTTAATTCCTATCTGGTACAAGCCTTTTAAAGCTGTAGCATTCCCCTTGCTGTGTACGTAGAGCACCATATCCTCCAGAGCAGCAGCGGGAGATAAACACGTGTTTCTTTCCTCGGTCAGGAACCATCTGACGGAGCGAGGCGTGCCGATATGAGTGTGGCTGCGGACGAATCGCTGTCGGAGGAGGAGGAGGAGGAGGAGATGGAGGACCAGCAGCAGGAGGCGGCACAGGAAGACAAGTCGAGTCCAAACAAAAGCAGCTCCAAAATATCCGGTAAAGAATCAAATCGCACCTCAAGGTTCAAGGCTTTATTAGTCATACGTACATAGCTACAGGGAAGTTATGACGATGAAAATCTGAGGTCACAGGCTCCTCCAACAGAGCAAACAATAGAGCGCCACAGTGACGCGTCCTAAAACCAGGAAGTGAGTTAGCATTTCCCCGCTTCCTGTCCCCTCTCTCACACGGCTTTCACACCGGCGCTTTTCACTTTCTAGCTCCTCGCGAGAGCTTTTCTGGTTCAGCTCCCGTTTCCCTTTTCAGCTCCCCTCTCTGTTCACACTGCCCAGAGCTGCCGCTGCTGCGTCATGACGTCACAGTTTACGTCGCTGATTTCTCCTCACAACAACAACGGGCCGGGGACTGCTTCGGGTCGATGATCGTGTTGCTTTTAATCATACGAAGCCAGATTAAATTAAATAACGACTTCTCCAACCTTATACTTTTCTCCAGAGTGCCGTGGTTCATTGTTTATTAATGTGTTTCAGCGGCATTTACCGACCGCTGCAGTGCTGGCTGCTCTTCCACGGGAGTTTATTCTCCCGTTAGCTCCGGGTTAGCTCACACGGCTCTAAAGTATTCACTGTCTGACTGTCACACAAGCAGCTGATACATATCCCCAGTTCCCCTTAAGTGAATGTGTGTCAGTCTGAATTGACGCTGTTTGGCATCACAACGCTGTTATGAAAGTTTCTCTGGTATAACATGGGTGATGTTAGCATAGCAACCGAAGCTAAACTGACTACTTGCTAAGCCGTTTTCTACAGGCACTTTTTACCGGCGTATTTTTCATTATGATTCTACTTGTGATAGTCGGACATGACAACCTGTACAGCCCATGTATCTCCACAATGATCAATAACAGCGAACGGATGGTCAAAGTAAGGTTTCCTGCACGCCTCGACGTAAGAGACGTAAGCGACGCCGCGTCATAGCTCCGAAGCTCTTGCCTCTGGACCGACAATTTTTTGGAGCTGGAAGTGAACCGCATTCCAGAGCTATGACGCGCCGCCGCTGCGATGTGAACAGGAAAGACCGGCGCTTTTCAGGCTCTAGCTCCCAGCAGGAGCTGGAAAAGCGCCGGTGTGAAAGGGGCATCAGAGCCAATGGGATCTCTCCATAGGAGTTTGGAAAATATCTGGAAATACGGTCTGTGGTTGAGACGCATTGAAGAGACGCATCACGTTTTGTTCTACGACATTAAATCCATCAGCAGTGTGAGATACACACATCTGAAAGTTTAGCTCTGACTCTCAATCATTGCTCACTTTTTAGCAGAAATAGTTTTCTATGATCTCCCTTTCTTTCCTCTTTCTTGTTTAACGTGTCCTTTAGTTATTTCAAGTGTTTCATGCTAAACGAACCCCCCTTTGGAACGTGCTATAATAAGAAACCACGGTGCTACAAACCACACATATACATGTAATAATAATAATACATTTAATTGTGATAGCGCTTTTCCTGGTGCTCAAAGACGCTTTACATCAAATGAGAAACAGAAACAGTACAAAGAAATTAAACACTGATCTCTGCAACCAGTACGAGGTGTTATGTTACCTTTAAAAACAAAAACAACCTTTTTATTAATCATGCAAGTCAGGTTAAAGGTGGGGTAGGTAAGTTTGAGAAACCGGCTCGAGATCGCTAGAATTTGAAAATACACAACCGGAGAAAATCTACCACTTCCTTACGGAGCCCCTCCTCCAACACACACCAACGCGCACATGACCAATGAGGGCACGAGATAAGTTTGTGCACAGATGGAAGGCTGACAGGCAGGTAGGCCATCCAGTTATTTTAGCCGGGCCGACTCAGATGATTGGTCGTGCTTTTTACAGTTCTACAGCTTCCACAGATGACATTATTTCATGTATTTATTGTCAAAGCACTTCAGATATTCATTGCTATCGGGATGTTAAGAGCATTCCATGGAATATAACAAAAAGTGTATCTCGAGCCGGTTTCTCAAACTTACCTACCCCACCTTTAATCAATAAAGCATTAATGATTTAATTATCAACAATAAGTAAACAGTGCATCGTTTTTATTGACATATGATCCCTTTAACCATCATAATAATAATAATAATAAAAACGATTTAAAAAAGAATACTAATAATTACAAATAATAAATAATAGTAATAAAATAAAATAAAATAAATTAAATTGTGAAAATAACAATAAAAAAAGTCTAATAATAATACAAAATAATGATAATAAAAACAATAATAAAAAAATGAAAAAGTCTAATAACTCTTGTGGGTAAATAAAGTATATCGTCCTCTTTCTTGTCTTCTTAATAAATACAAGACACACATTGTTTTTAAGCTCTGCACTGGTGATTTCTGAAGAGTTGACGTGTCTGAAAAGTGATGGTTGTTACCAAGTGGCTGAATAGGACTACAGAAGTCGTGGAGGACGTTGTACGTCATTACGCCGAACACGTAAACACTCTAAGTTTGTTAGCCCAGAGGCCTGTACTACGAAGCCGGTTCAACCTAACCTGGATATGTTTGAGTTAGCCGGTTGGCCCAATCCAAAACATACGTGCTCTCGCTAAGCTGTACTACGACGCTGGTTATCAAGTGGATCGCTCAAGCCAGCCGTGTCCTATCTAGTTAGGTGCGCGTTCACATGAAAGGGGTGGTATTTGGAGCATTCGACCAATCTCAAACACGGACAAGCGTACTGACAGCGCAGCGTCATACTTCCTGAATGAAAAGTGAACTTTAATATTAGTCAAATATGAAGAAGTTAAACTTTAAACATCCATGACTTAAACACTTTATCCAGGATCAAAGCCACATAGCTGCACCTGCAAGGTGAATACAGCTGGTAAAAGAAAAAGTGTTTGAATGCGTACATTAACAGGTTTATGAAATCACTGCCCCGTCTAAGACACGAGTGGATCTGACTTTAATTACATTTGACTCCAGTGTTTCGTCAACTTAATGTGTTGCTTAAAATAATACTTCTGCATACAGTATGTGACACTGTGAGTGTTGCACGGCCAGATACGGCTCAAGAAGCTGACTCAGATAAGGAAATATATGATACATTATGTGATATGATATGAATGATAATGGGACACATCGACGTCTGCACTCACAGTGCCGCGGACTGTACTTAATGTTACTCTGATCCGGTTACTTATGTTGTGGCAGATATTTAAGTAAGCTTTCTTAACGCTAATGTTATAATAGTCAGATTGCTCTGAAGATGGGAGGGGATATTCTATTAATTTTCACGTTCACACAGTCAGTTGATTTTTGCCGGCCGTCTTTCCTGCAACGGCAGTTTTTCTGTATTTCCTCTATCCTGTAATATGACTTGATCGCTTTAAACTCCGCACACGGAGCTCTGATTGGTCAGCAGGCGGTGCTTTCACTGAGTTGATCTCTTAGCCTGCAACCTAACCTGCTCCGGAGCAGGTTTGCCGCTCAGCATAAGTTACCATGGAGATCTAGCCCGCTAAAAAGAGAACCAGCGTCGTAGGACCGGAAAGCCCGAGATTTCCCTGAAGTTAGCCGGCTAAGCGAAAATCCTGCTTCGTAGTACAGGCCTCTGTTCTGCTTGAAAGCAAGGACCTGCCTCCTGCAAACTGTTCAAACAAACGCTTCAACTCGTTCCATTTAGAATCTGTATGTTTGAATATGGATCTGAAGTTGGCGTGACGTTGAAGTCGTGCTGCTGTACTCGGCTGTAGTTCCTTTATAGCATCACGTTAGCATTTTGCTTCTGGTCACATGTTTTTTACAAATATCCTGATAATGGAACTTCATCACCAAAGACTTATTGTAATTAAATGTTATTAGCAGTCATCCTTAAACAATCTCTGCCCCTCTACTTATCTCCCCGTCCCCAGGAGTTTAATACATATTTGTGAAAATAATATAAACTCTGCATATTTTTGGACCCTGAGAGTTTTTTGATTATTATTGTTTCAACCAGATAAGATTAATACTATTGTAACTGTTGGGGAATAATTTGCTTAGGTATTGTGTGTGTGATATCGGTTTCATTAATAGCATCAACTCTAGTTTTGGGATCTGGGAGAAAGAGTTGTTGTCTTACACCATCCAGGGCTCGACAGTAATGGTTGCCAGGTTGCCATTGGCAACCATTCAGAAAAAATGTCAACCACTTCTTGGCCTTTGGTTGCCATCAGTGGCAACCAGTTTTTAACATAAAGAAATAAGGACAGCAAAATGTGCACCCCAAAAGAGACATGTTAATTATTTGTTGCGACCAGTCGGAACCTGATGCTTAAGTTGCACGTGCATTGGTGTGATTACGGAGCCCGAAGGCGATGCACGTTTACTCGCGTGCGCTGTGTGTTTGTTTTACAAAAAATGGCGTATTTTCAAATTCTAGCGATCTCGAGCTGGTTTCTCCAAAATTACCTACCCCACCTTTAACCTGACTTGCATGATTAATAAAAGGTTGTTTTTGTTTTTAAAGGTAATTGATTAACTATCGCTTTAAAGGTAAATTAAGTTGTTTGACTGTGGGATACAAAGTTCGGCCAACCAGTCAACTACGAATGTTCAAAGTGATTCAACTGATATAGCGCAAGATGAACCCGAACGAAAAGGAAAGAGGACATTTGTAAAGTCTTGGCGAAATATATATTATGTACATTCTGCTCCGTTCTGGTAAAAGTTCCTTCAAAATTTTATTTATTTATTTAGCCTTTATTTATACAGGTTTAAAATCTCATTGAGACACAAGGTCTCATTTCCAAGAGAGACCTGTCAAAATAAGAGTCCCGATCTTATTACTACCAAAATAAAAGTGCTAAACAAAACTTTACCATAGGAAAATATTGGCATACAAATATAATCACTTCTATAAAAACATTTTAAATATAGTTAGACATATTAAAGGTAATTTACAGCATTAATAATTAATATCTAATTCTTAACTATGAATGGTTTTAATTTATTTAACATTAGAAATGTAGTCTGGCCAATCCAAGACTTCAATGCTGAAGGGCCAATGGATCTGTGGTGGGGGTCAGCACAAAGGTCAAGGAAACCCACATTTGAAAGGGAGACAGCTGATGACCAAGAAATTAGTGATCTGTGAAGAACAGCAGCTGCACTACTGGTGTTTTGTATACTAGCAATTGAGGGTGGACAAGTTTCCTACTGCTTAAGTTTCAAATAATTGTGTTAATTACTTATTGTAAAGCATTTGAACATTCTTTTGTGTCACATTTTCATTATTAAGTTGATGTATAACTGCATAGTATCTTCATTATTTAAAATATAAGGTGACTAAAAATGGCAACCGTATTTTCAGTTTTGGCAACCAAAAGCTGATGCCTGGCTGCCAGCCTGGGCGTTGAGCTCTGCCATCCTAATACCCTGTATGGAATATTATAATGGGCACAGTCATTTAAAGTAGAGAGTCATGCTGATTTATTTGTCACACTGTGTTTGCAGCTGCAGGTGAAATCATTGAAGGCAAGCGGGCAAAGAAGACGGTGGAGAGGCTCGACTTCCAGGCCCCGAAGCACAAGGAGAAGCTCAAGACAGGAGATGGTAAATATTAAAGTGTAACCGAGCAGAGACGTCAGCAGAACAGATGCTTCAGTACCGAGCGATGCCAGCACTCGGAACCAAGGGGACCTATCATGCAAATGCACTTTTGTACGTCTTTTCTACATGAATATGTGTCCCCGGTGTTCCAGGGAACTCACCAAGTGTCAGAAAACACAACCCTCTCTATTTTCCTCCATACCCAAATCTCTAAAAAAGGGGCTGCAACGGATCTGATAAAAACTGATCCAGATTTGAACACTGTCCTGACGTCAGGACGGTGGCGCTACGGCTATTGGGCCAACTCCACCAATCAGGAGGAGACAGCCACGGCCATTGCTGTTCGAAAGCGCTGGAGACGCTGTAGTACATATGCCAGGCCAGTAGGTGGTGCTGTTCTCACTGAATCAGCCCTTGCAAGTCCAGAGCAATTTTTTTCAAATTGAGCGAAATGAGGCATGGCTAAAATGCATGATCTGTTTGGTATTAAAAAAAAAAAAAAAAGTATAAATATGCCTTATATAGGTATGGTCCTACACTATATTATTCAAATATAGCATGATAATGTTCACTTTAAGTATAAAAGGAAAAGCACATTTTGAATTGTGATCCTGCTAATTGGTTTTAAAGCACGTGTGTCTGGCGTTGCACACTGGCATGCACGTTTTTATAATAATGCCACAATTTAAACAACACAAATCAGTTGGAGAGCTAGTTAGCGAGAGCTGAAACAGGTTTTTACTGGCGCTGATACTCCAACAGAAAATTCATACTAACAAAATGTGACTTGGACGAGCCCCCATGTCACGCCCTGGCTCAAGGACGGACAAAAGAAGGAGACTACACATGATTCATTTCCAATTAAAGTACAGTTATTTAAAAAAAAAACTCAGTTAATTGTGAAGTCGGTTAATCAGTAGTGCGTGAATTCTCTAGAAGTTAAATTGCACTCCAAGTCTGTGTATGACAACTGTCCGCTTGTTTGTTTCCCATATCTTCAGGAAGCGGAGATAAGTTAGGAGACATTCGACGCACGTGTTTACAGATCACCAAGATGAAGACGGCTGACCTGAAGCCTCTGCACGCCATCCTGTTCGACAGGCCGGGGAAGGTACAGACACCGGCCATTTGAACCAACTCAGAGACGGGCTCAGTCTGTGGGAGGAGGCACTATTTCTCACTTTAATGCCAACTCCTAATAGTATAATGCTAACGGTATCAGTGTAGCCTGATCTCTTTCTGACACTGAACAAATACCAGCTTTTAACCCAATAAATAAAGAATAATAAAATGAACTAAAGAAAGTAGACTTTTAATTTGAATGTCACATATATTACAGAGTTTGCTTTTGTTCCATATTTCAAATGATAATATATTTGTGCTGAAGTTCAGATTGACTGATTAGTAATCTTGATTTTAATATTTTATTTTATTCAGGAGTTATGAGTCAGTGTTAATTTCGCCAACGAAAAATGTTCGCCAACGACCTTTTTTACGAGACGATGACGAGCTAAAAATAGATTATTGATCATAAAAACTATGACGAAATGTATATTTAGTTTTCGTTGACGAGACGGGACAAAGGTGTTAATGGTGGACTATCGGACGTTCAGAATGCAGGGTCTTTCCCCAAGTGTCCGCCTCTGTCAAAATGCATCTTACGTTTCTAACTTGCAATATCATTATTTCCGCTCTCTTCACTCCAGAAGAGCGATCGCGTGGTGGGGGCGGGGCCTCTCTCTCTCTCTCTCTCTCTCTGTGCGGTGGGCGGGGCCTCTCTCTCTCTGTGTCCGGGGGGCGGGGCCTCACTCTCTCTCTCTCTCTCTGTGTGCGGGGGGCGGGGCCTCTCTCTCTCTGTGTGCGGGGGGCGGGGCCTCACTCTCTCTCTCTCTGTGTGTGCGGGGGGCGGGGCCTCACTCTCTCTGTGCGGGGGGCGGGGCCTAACTCTCTCTCTCTCTCTCTCTGTGCGGGGGGCGGGGCCTCACTCTCTCTCTCTGTGTGAGGGGGGGCGGGGCCTCACTCACTCTCTCTCTCTTTGCGGGGGGCGGGGCCTCACTCTCTCTCTGTGTGTGGGGGCGGGGCCTCACTCTCTGTGTGCGGGGGCGGGGCCTCACTCTCTCTCTCTCTCTCTGTGTGTGGGGGCGGGGCCTCTCTCTCTCTGTGTGGGGGGGCGGGGCCTCACTCTCTCTCTCTCTCTCTGTGTGCGGGGGCGGGGCCTCTCTCTGTGTGCGGGGGCGGGGCCTAACAGACGCTGCAGCGGCGTGCAGACATATTTTTAAGACTAGTAGTACCGTTAAAAACCTTAACGATACCCATCCCTAGATATTACACAAGTAAAGTGTTAAGAGAGTGAAATGTTGCTTTACGAATTTCAACCCTTGATGCTGTCACCTTGATTCCAATCTCAGATTCCTGTATTCATCTGAATTAGTTTAAAGAGAGAAAACATTTTGACGAAAACTGGACTAAAATGTAATGATTTTTCATCGACTAAAACTATGAAGGATAAAAAGGACTAAGATGTGACTAAAGCTAACAATCATTTTCGTCTAAAGACTAAATCAAAAATAGCTGCCAAAAGTAACACTGTTATGAGTTACCATCCAATGTGAAATGAAGCAGATTCAAATATGTTTAACTACATGTTTTGTTTGTTCATCAGACGGCGATTTTAAAGAAGAACCTGCGTCTGTTTAACGGCTTTCCCTTTGCCGCGGACAGCGAAGAGTTCACAAATAAACGAGAAAAACTTCTGAAGTAAGTTTCTGCCCGCAGACTCAGCTCAGTCGTGGTGTGGAATCAGAGGGTTTGCTATAATAACACTTTGTTTTTGAATGAAGGAATTCCAACTTCACCAACACCAAGCTGAAGGTTGTCTGCGGGGTTCTGGATCTGGAGAAGAAAGGAAACCACTCGGATCTCGTCGACAGGATCCTGACGTTCCTCACCGAACCCAAAAACAGCGGGAAGGTGAGACGAGCTCAGAGGCTTCGGTTCATGTTTGTGTGTCACATTTATACATATGCACACATTAAATATCTTCAATATCTTTGGGAATGTGCGTTAGTGCCAGATTGTCCATGGCAGTGTAAAAAGTGTCTGGTGCTGGAATTGAGTGTCTGGGTGTGTGTGGGGAGTTAGAAGCTGCATCTCACTTCGGTTAAATGGATTCTTTGCGTCCCTCACTTGCGTCGTTTCCCTGCGACTAGTCCCTCCCACCAGGGAAGCATGGAGAGACGCAAGGAAACCACGAGAAGCAGGGAAATGAGTTTTAAGAGCAATGGTACGTCGTTTCCTCCGGAGCGCCACGTGAAGCCACGGCCGTTTGATGACGCCGCACAGCTGATCGTCAGTGAGCGATACACAGTAAGGGGGCGGGGCGAGTGTCTGAGGATTTCACCGGGGGATAGTCTGGTAGTTCCTCGATTATCGCTCCTCGATCCTCCGGCACAAATAAAGCCACTGGGACGCTACTCAAGATGGTGCAGACAAATCAACTTGCGGTGAAACCGAGGAGCGAGGAAATAAAAAATAAGAGATGTGAGACGCACTCATAGTCCAGTGGGGGCAGGGGGGAGAGAGGAGGGGGAGGGGGGAGAGTTCAGCCTCCTGACAGCCTGGTAGAAAAAACAGTTCTTCAGTCGTCAGTCGTTCCAGCACAGAGTGGTTTTCAGGTCATCCTGCTGTGGAGGCCGGCCCTCCACCAACTGCTTTACTTATAAACGTTCCACCTCAAAGTTTCCTCTAAAGCCTTTTTGCCTTTTGTTCCTCAGCGTCTGCCGGTAAAGAAGAAGAGGAAGTCGAAGAAGAAACTGTCAGGCGACGACTCGAAGGCCAGCGCCAAGAAGAGCACACCCAAAACCCAGAGCTCCTCGTCCAGTCCCAAGAAGACCAAAGCAGGAAGCAAGTCCAAAGCCATCGTCATGGACTCCAGCAGCGACGAGGACGACAAAGACGACGAGGAAGAGGAGAAGGCGGCGACGACTTCGGCCGACGACGAGGAAGAGGAGAAGGCGGCGACTTCGGCCGACGACGAGGAAGAGGAGAAGGCGGCGACTTCGGCCGACAACGAGGAAGAGGAGAAGGCGGCGACTTCGGCCGACGACGAGAGAGGAGAAGGCGGCGACTTCGGCCGGGGCTGAGGAGTCGGAGACCGAGGAGAAACCTTCAGAGGAGAGGGAGGACCAGTCCGACAAGTCAGAGGAGTCTGAGGAGGAGGTGAGGTCATGGGTCTCACATCATTACACAACAGAAACACAGATGTGATGAAGTTAACGGTTATTTGCAAGCGACAACCTATTCTGAGATAAACGTGAAAACCGTCATGTCATCCTTCCTGTTAGCGTCTACATTTGGACCCATTTCCAAACGGGGTTATTTGATGTATTTGCCTCAAAGGTATCATGAATGTTTCTGCTGAATGTTGAACATCTTACCAGTATAACCAGTATAACTCAGTATAACCAGTATAACTCAGTATAACCAGTATAACTCAGTATAACCAGTATAACCAGTATAACTCAGTATAACCCAGTATAACCAGTATAACTCAGTATAACCAGTATAACCAGTATAACTCAGTATACTCAGTATAACTCAGTATAACCAGTATAACCAGTATAACCAGTATAACTCAGTATAACCAGTATAACTCAGTATAACCAGTATAACCCAGTATAACTCAGTATAACTCAGTATAACCAGTATAACTCAGTATAACTCAGTATACCAGTATAACTCAGTATAACCAGTATAACTCAGTATAACTCAGTATAACCAGTATAACCAGTATAACTCAGTATAACTCAGTATAACCAGTATAACCAGTATAACTCAGTATAACTCAGTATAACCAGTATAACCAGTATAACTCAGTATAACCCAGTATAACTCAGTATAACTCAGTATAACCAGTATAACCAGTATAACTCAGTATAACTCAGTATAACCAGTATAACTCAGTATAACCAGTATAACCAGTATAACCAGTATAACCAGTATAACCAGTATAACTCAGTATAACTCAGTATAACCAGTATAACCAGTATAACTCAGTATAACCCAGTATAACCAGTATAACCAGTATAACTCAGTATAACCAGTATGTTCCTCAGCGTCTACCGGTGAAGAGGAAGTCGAAGAAGAAACTGTCAGGCAACGACTCGAAGGCCAGCGCCAAGAAGAGCAAACCAAAACCCAGAGCTCCTCGTCCAGTCCCAAGAAGACCAAAGCAGGAAGCAAGTCCAAAGCCATCGTCATGGACTCCAGCAGCGACGAGGACGACAACGACGAAGAGGAAGAGGAGAAGGCGGCGACGACTTCGGCCGACGAAGAGGAGAAGGCGGCGACGACTTCGGCCGACGAAGAGGAGAAGGCGGCGACTTCGGCCGGGGCTGAGGAGTCGGGGACCGAGGAGAAACCTTCAGAGGAGAGGAAGGACCAGTCAGAGGAGTCGTCAGAGGAGTCGTCAGAGGAGTCGTCAGAGGAGTCGTCAGAGGAGTCGTCAGAGGAGTCGTCAGAGTCTGAAGAGGAGTCTGAGGAGGAGGTGAGGTCATGGGTCTCACATCATTACACAACAGAACACAGATGTGATGAAGTTAACGGTTATTTGCAAGCGACAACCTATTCTGAGATAAACGGGAAAACCGTCATGTCATCCTTCCTGTTAGCGTCTACATTTGGACCCATTTCCAAACGGGGTTATTTGATGTATTTGCCTCAAAGGTATCATGAATGTTCTTCTGCTGAATGTTGAACATCTTACCAGTATAACCAGTATAACCAGTATAACTCAGTATAACCAGTATAACCAGTATAACTCAGTATAACTCAGTATAACCAGTATAACCAGTATAACCAGTATAACTCAGTATAACCAGTATAATCAGTATAAACCAGTATAACTCAGTATAATCAGTATAACCCAGTATAACCCAGTATAACCAGTATAACTCAGTATAACCAGTATAACCAGTATAACCAGTATAACTCAGTATAACTCAGTATAACGCAGTATAACTCAGTATACCAGTATAACCAGTATAACCAGTTATACTCAGTATAACTCAGTATAACCAGTATAACAGTAACTCAGGATAACTCAGTATAACCAGTATAACTCAGTACAGTATAACTCAGTATAACTCAGTATAACCAGTATAACTCAGTATAACCAGTATAACTCAGTATAACTCAGTAGAACTCAGTATAACTCAGTATAACCAGTATAACTCAGTATAACTCAGTATAACTCAGTATAACCAGTATAACTCAGTATAACCCCAGTATAACCAGTAGAAACCAGTATAGACTCAGTATAACCAGTATAACCCAGTATAACCCAGTATACCATATAACCAGTATAACTCAGTAATAACCAGTATAACCCAGTACAACTAGTATGTTCCTCAGCGTCTGCCGGTAAGAGGAGGAAGTCGAAGAGGAAACTGCCAGGCAACGACTCGAAGGCCAGCGCCAAGAATAGCAAACCCAAAACCCAGAGCTCCTCGTCCAGTCCCAAGAAGACCAAAGCAGGAAGCAAGTCCAAAGCCATCGTCATGGACTCCAGCAGCGACGAGGACGACAACGAGGAAGAGGAGAAGGCGGCGACGACTTCGGCCGACGAAGAGGAGAAGGCGGCGACTTCGGCCGGGCTGAGGAGTCCGGAGACCGAGGAGAAACCTTCAGAGGAGAGGAGGACCAGTCCGAGGAGTCTGAAGAGGAGTCTGAGGAGGAGGTGAGGTCATGGGGTCTCACATCATTACACAACAGAAACACAGATGTGATGAAGGTTAACGGTTATTTGCAAGCGACAACCTATTCTGAGATAAACGTGGAAAACCGTCATGTCATCCTTCCTGTTAGCGTCTACATTGGACCCATTTCCAAACGGGGTTATTTGATGTATTTGCCTCAAAGGTATCATGAATGTTTCTGCTGAATGTTAAACCATCTTACCAGTATAACCAGTATATACCAGTATAACCAGTATAACTCAGGATAACCAGTATAATCAGTAAACCAGTATAACTCAGTATAACCCCAGTATAACCAGTATAATCAGTATAAACTCAGTATAACCAGTGATAATCGGTATAACCCAATATAACCAATATAACCAGTATAACCAGTATAACTCAGTATAACTCAGTATAACCCAGTATAACCAGTATAATCAGTATAACCCCGTATAACTCAGTATAACCAGTATAACCAGTATAACCAGTATAACCCGGTATAACCCAGTATAACCCCGTATAACCCAGTATAACTCAGTATAACTCAGTATAACCCAGTATAACCAGTATAAACCAGTATAACCCAGTATAACCAGTATAACCAAGTATAACCAGCTGCTTCAGACTAACAAAGGTTTCAGAATCATAGCCGATGCAATGTCCTAAACTAGCCTCCTCTTCAAAACAACGTAAATCTAGATGCCCGCGATGCTATTCTTTTTATAGCCTTTTTTCACATGAAAAACAAAAACTGATATTGTCCTGAATCTCTCCGGTATTTAAATTCAGGTCAGAAGGAAACGATCACTCAGAGCTGCTTTCCATTTCAGTCTGTAACCCACACACGTGTTCTCTCTCAGTCTCCCAAATCAAAGCCGGCCAGAGGGAAGTCGACCCCCCAAAAAGTCAGCCCCCGTGAAAAGGCAGCGGACAACAGCGAAGAAGACGTCTCCTCCTAAAAAGAGAGCGAGGAAGGAAGTGTCAGACGAGTCCAACGCTGACAGTGAAGCTGACGAGAAGGTAACGCTCACCATGCAGTCAAAGACGTTTTGAAATAGCTTTCACTGTGGTCTTTCTCCAGGGTGTGACGTCCAGTCTATGAAGTGAATCCCTCCGTAGGGATCCTTTTGCAGACCACGTATCAGTCTGTGTTTTCTAAATCGGGGTTTTCTATTTTTGTTGTGTTTTAAAAATGTTTTTACATCATGGCTGAGAGTTTTTCAGTCTGTGGCTATTTCAATCAGGAGAGACGGTTTTTGATAAGAAACACATATTTATTGCCAGGAATACACGAATGAATGTGATGGAGTTTTGGCGATTAGGCCCCGTTGTGGCAGGAGTATCATTCAGGAGGGGAGAACCGATCCGATGAAACCCCCCCGGGGTCTAGACACTGGCGGTGGTGAATGGATGGTTGGGTTCGGTCTGAAGGGGGAGGGGCTTAGCGTGACCCTGGTGGTGGTGAATGGATAGTTGCGGTCGGTCTGAAGGGGAGGGGCTTAGCTTGACCCTGGTGGTGGTGAATGGATAGTTGGGTTCGGTCTGAAGGGGAGTGGCTTAGCTTGACCCTGGTGGTGGTGAATGGATAGTTGGTTCGGTCTGAAGGGGAGGGGCCTTAGCTTGACCCTGGTGGTGGTGAATGGATAGTTGGGTTCGGTCTGAAGGGGAGAGGCTTATCTTGAACCTGGTGGTGGTGAATGGATAGTTGGGGTCGGTCTGAAGGGGAGTGGCTTAGCTTGACCCTGGTGGTGGTGAATGGATAGTTGGGTTCGGTCTGAAGGGGAGGGGCTTAGCTTGACCCTGGTGGTGGTGAATGGATAGTTGGGTTCGGTCTGAAGGGGAGAGGCTTATCTTGAACCTGGTGGTGGTGAATGGATAGTTGGGGTCGGTCTGAAGGGGAGGGGCTTAGCTTGACCCTGGTGGTGGGTGAATGGATAGTTGGGGTCGGTCTGAAGGGGAGGGGCTTAGCTTGACCCTGGTGGTGGTGAATGGATGGTGGGGGTCGATCTGAAGGGGAGTAGCTTGACCCTGGTGGTGGTGAATGGATTGTTGCGGTCGGTCTGAAGGGGAGGGGCTTTAGCTTGACCCTGGTGGTGGTGAATGGATTGTTGGGGTCGGTCTGAAGAGGAGTGGCTTAGCTTTACCCTGTGGTGGTGGTGAATGGATAGTTGGGGTCAGTCTGAAGGGTAGGGGCTTAGCTTGACCCTGGTGGTGGTGAATGGATAGTTGGGGTCGGTCCTGAAGGGGAGTGGCTTAGCTTGACCCTGGTGGTGGTGAATGGATAGTTGGGGTCGGTCTGAAGGGGAGGGGCTTAGCTTGACCCTGGTGGTGGTGAATGGATGGTTGGGGTCGGTCTGAAGGGAGTGGCTTAGCTTGACCCTGGTGGTGGTGAATGATAGTTGGGGTCGGTCTGAAGGGGAGGGGGCTTAGCTTGACCCTGGTGGTGGTGAATGGATAGTTGGGGTCGGTCTGAAGTGGGAGGGGCTTAGCTTGACCCTGGTGGTGGTGAATGGATAGTTTGGGGTCGGGTCGAAGGGGAGGGGCTTAGCTTGACCCTGTGGTGGTGGTGAATTGGATTGTGGGGGTGCGGTCTGAAGGGGAGGGGCTAGCTTGACCCTGTATTCAGAGGGACAGGAGGTGAAGAGGGGTGGAGGAGGGTTTCGTCAAGTCACCTGAAATTACAGGCTGTCAGAGGGGAGAGCAGATTTAAAAGGTTAGCGGAGCGCTGTGATAGGCTGTGAGAGCGAAGTGATTGGTTAAGTCTGGGGAGTGACGCCCCCGATCCCTGAATTGAGAGGAGAGAGAGTAGTGACATGGACATAGTAAATGAATGAGTAAAGAAGGTCTTCCTGGTTGAACTTGCGCTGAGCTCCATTTGTATGGTTTCATTGTCTCGTGCTTCTACATTAGTTTTTTTTGTCCTATTGGTTTGTTTAAATGTATTTATGCTGCTTTTTATATATTCTGATGTACAGCACTTTGGTCAACTTTATTGTTTTAAATGTGCTATATAAATAAAGTGGATTGGATCCCGAACCCCTGGTAGTAAACGGGCCTCAGACAAACATTTGAAGAAACCCAGAACGCTAAAGGTTCACAGCGGACTCAAAGGGATGTTTTTGTATAGTCAAAGGCGCGGATAGACAATGACGTTGAGAAGCCTTATTCGCTATAGTTACATTTACTTTGCCGGTCTTCCCTTAAAAAATAACAGATAAGAACACCATTAAAGTACCGGATTGAAGAGCGGTATCGGTGAGGGTAGTAGTACCGTTAACCTGTTACGAACCTTCCGCCCGGTACCGGGCGGATAAACACGTCATTTGCAGGAAACAACGTCTAAGGAATCTTAATATTGAATAAAACTATGAATGTGTTATATCCATGTAACGGGAAGAAAGAAACTCAGCTAACTGATCTTTTTTAATTTTTTTTTTCAAAAAAAACCCACAAGCTAGCACTCAGCCTCTTGAATTAGCCAACAGCGAAAAAATATAACCCATCTCTGCACCTAAACTCACTCTAACTCCCTATTACTTATCCTAGATGCACAACCAACCACTCGTTTTGGTGTCCTGGAGACACTGAATCTACGTGCCCCTCCTCAACACTCAGTGATAAACATTCGCGACGCTATAAACGAAAGCGTACATCATCACATGTGGAGCTAAGTAGCTAAACACGTAAACATGGCTTACCTGGTCAAAAGTGGTCTTCAATGGCATCAAAACGATAAAAAAAACGATGCTGCAGTAATCCATTAGGTTCATCCTATGTGTCTGTGCCTTCTTTGAAATTATTTCTGATAATCCATAAGCAATTAAAACTGCGTTTTAGTTTCCAAACTCAGAAGGAGACATTCCTCCACTTTGTTTTCGTTTTCCACATGCGAAGCGCCCACATTTTTTTCTTTACAACTTGTGTGGGTGTGTGCCTCCCCCTTCGATTCTATTGGCTCTAACGGTCACAAGGGTATGTCAACCAACCAAATCGACCAAGGGGGGGCCAGAGATAGGTCAAATCCACCCAAATGACCCCAGAATGGGGGGTTTTTGGCTAAATCTCTCTAAAAAAGGTCAAATTTCACTTGTTTTGCATTAATCTTGATACAGGGTACTTATTATATGTTGTACTTTGGATTCCTAAAGCTTTAGTCTACTAACCCATCATGCCAAGGGTAGTTTTCACTATCTGTAAAAAATAATTTTTGGAACGGACACTATAATTTACAGTTTTTTACTATGTAAAATCTGAATTGTCTTAAATAAAAAACATTTATATTGATTTGACACTTCTACATCCAACTCACAGGTTTATCATTACTTTGAGAACAAAGATTATTAATTTAACCCTTTTAGAAGGGAAGATATGGTCATTTGTTCTGGGAATGTCATTTTCGAGCCTGAGACCTGAAAAACAGGCTCAGAGTGGAACAGGTTAATCAACCGATGCCCATCCCCACTCGTACGTCTCGAGGAGTCGTTGAGCCGATGTTTGCCTTTTGTTTTGCAGCCCAAGAAGAAGGCCGCCAGACCTGCCGCCAAAACCAAGAAGGCCGACAGCAACAGCAAAACCAACACAAAGACAGGTGAGGGGAGGCTCACACACACACACACACACACACACACACACACACACACACACACACACACACACACAGCATGCTGGCTTTATGAGAAATGAGAGTAATAAGGGCATTGTGGAAGGTTTGTTTTGTGTGTGTGTGTGAGAATGACAGGAGGATGTGGATGATGGGTGCTGGCGAGCTCTAACACTTTGATCACACACACACACACACACACACACACACACAGATCTTCAGATTGATACTCACCTGATTGACAACTGAAGAACGGTCTCAAAGTAATCTTGGAAAGCAGAGGGACTTGATGGACTAAGGAAATAAGTAAATGCACACAGAAGGATTCACAAATGTGTAATTCAGGATCTTTATACATTTCTCTAACTACAAAAAATGTCTTCAACGCACCACACAAATACAAAGTCCACAAATATAAAAAAATAACTTTAACTAATATATTTCTGATCTGATTTAAATAAGTGTAATATAAATCCATAAATACAGCAGGGTTTTTCTAGAAAGATATAGTACGAGTTCTTCGGCGCTGATCTATAAGATACATCAATTCTCTACGGTCCCTACTGACTGAGCCACCACCCTGCTTCTAACTTGAAACTCAAACATTGTCCAAAAGAACTGAATATTTACAGATGTACAAAAGTGTATTAATGACTTGAACTATGACTAGCGAATGTGCCACACAGGCGTTCAGATGAACTACCTTCACTACGGGGGTCTCAAAACACACACAATGCTGACTCGAGAAGTGGAAGAGCTCATAGTCCTGTGCCTTCAGGTGGACCAATCAGGCATTAGGAGGCGGCCAATCAGCTCACACACACACACACACACACACACACACACGCACACACACACACACACACCACACACTCACAACACACACACACACACACAGGAGGAGAGATATATATTAAAAACACACACATTGTGTGTGTGATTGACGACTTCTGAAGTCAGGAGTTTTAGGAGCCGTCTGAATGTTTCCATGCCTCATGTTTCCATGCCTCATGTTTCCTCTCCGTGCTTGCTGTGTTTGTTCTTGCAGCAGAGGACAGCTCTGATGACGACGAGCCGCTCATCAAGATGATCAAGAAAGCTCCGAGCGACGAGCAGCTGAAGGAGACGGTGCAGAGTCTGCTGAAGGAGGCCGACCTGGAGCAGATGACCATGAAACAGATCTGCCAGAGGGTGAGGGGGATCTAGAGTACTCATTGATACAAACAATCTGTGCTTATAGCCCGACCAAAGACATTCTTTCTGTGAAACATAGATTCCATGTGAGAGTGATGAACGGTGCACTTTATTTTACATTCTGAATATATTCTGAATTTAGTTTTGTGTGTTGTTTAGGTGTTTGACACCTACCCAGAACACAACCTGGCCAACAAGAAGGATTACATCAAACAGGACCGTCAAATCTGTGAGTAAACACAAACACACACCTTTTAGGTCATATGAGATCCTCTCTAAATCAGTACTGTGTTCCCTTTATTATGTTGATGATGTTTTACTAACTGCAGTGTTTCGTTAACTAAAGCAAAGTCCATACATGAGTCTGTTTGCAGCTCATAGAGTCCTGTGTGAACCCTGAAAGTGTTATGATAGAAATGTAGAGTAGGGTCTCAAGCACATGGAAACTGCCAGATAATAATACATTTTATTTTAGGCGCCTTTCATGACACCCAAGGACACCGTACAATTTGTTAAGAAAACGCTAATAGGCAACAGAACATGATGAACAGGAAATCATGGAGGAGACAATCAAGTGGACACAAATGAAACATATAATGGGGAGCACTGTAGTGAGTAGGCCGATTTGAACAGATGGGTTTTTAATTGGGATTTGAATATGGTGGTTCTGTCGGTGTGCGGGGGGGGGGGGGGGGGGGGTGGTTCCAGAGTCTGGGAGCAGTGCAGCTAGAAGCCCGAGCACCCATGGTGACGAGGCGTGGGGTGGGGACCTGCTAACCTGCATATGTTTGGCAATTTGCACAATTAGTATAAGTTGTGTTAATTAAAATAAAAGGCATTATAGCCTATGTGGACAATAGTTAAAAATGGCTTGGCTGATTTGCACATTATCGGACGGGTTTTGAGGATGCTGGTGATAATAAACTGTGCAAAGTTGAGGTAATCTGTTCATCTTGTGCTCTCTATATCCAATAGTCACAGCGCTATTCATGGTAGTCAAATCAGCCCACAGAGTGTCCACTTCCTGCCATTTTGGATGGTTTCAGCATCCTCAATAACCCCCGACACCTCTCCCATAATGTCCGAATCCGAAGCCATTATAATAGTAAGTTAATGCTAATTGTGCAAATTGCCCAACATCTGCAGGTCAGCATCCGGCAGTTTCTACGAGCTGGAGACCCTACTCTACATTTCTAACATAAAACTTTGTGGGGTATCAACATTCTGGGTTCACACTGCTGTCAGTTAGACCAGGGGTTCCCAACCTACCGGGCCGTGGAGGTGTTACTGCCGGGCCGCGAAATAGCTGTGAGTTTATCGTAATATTTGCAGAATTATAAATATATAAAAATATTTTATCATAATTTCTTTTCAAAAAGTGTTTAATTTTCGCACCTATGCCACCAGTCATATTATTTCATCCAGTAGCTAGTTAATCTTTCACCAGAAAACGGTTGAAAAATGGCTTTTATGATGTTCCGAGGGATTCGGCGGCTCAGCCTAAGGTCTCAGCCTCTTGTGCGCACGAGGAAGTTACCGGTGCGCCAAGTAGGAAGAGGAGCGCACAGGAGACAACCGTTTGATTGCAGACTGTTATGTTTATGTGGGGAAATGGTGGTGCATACATTATTTGAGATATATTTCAAACTCGGACTTCATTTTAAGGACATGTCGGCCAGGGGTGTAGAGCTATTTGTTTAAGCACCGGATTGGCAAAACAGGAGAGTAAACCAGTCTGCCTTGATCTATGAATTCATGTCCGGGACTCTCACAGTATCGGCTGCCCGCAGCTGCTTTATAGAAGGAAACCCTCCTTCATGAAATGGCTGCAGCATCAGGAGGCAGCGGGACGTACTCGGTAAAGAGCTGTGCCTTTTTACGCACCGCCTTCGCTGTGTTTAACTTAATCAGAACAGCTTAAGAGTGACTGCAGGCTGCTACGTGTTAACCACACACACATCTACACACATCTCTACACACATCTCTACACACCTCTACACACTGCCTGATTACTCCCCCTTTTATTAGTTTTATGAAGGAGATGTCCAGTCAGTCACCAAGGCGCATGATGTGTGTGTGTGTATGTGCTCTGCTCAGCTCAGCTCTGTGTGTTCGGTGTGTTTGTGTCTGTCCGACACCGGCATATGTTTTCAAATGTTTATGAACAGTCATTTACACACATATGGCCAACTCCATATATGCAGCTGTTCCCAAAATAAATTAGTTTAATCTTAATCTCGATGTAGTGCTAAATGCTGTCGGAGTGCACCGGAACGAACGACACTATCATAATATCTTCTGAAAACAAATGCCAGTGTTCATAATGCGCCTTCTCCTCGTTTTCCCAGCATTCACTGATTATCCGTAAATCAAACAAAACCAAAACGTTGATTTATCTGTTTTCCCGTTTTGGTTTAAAAACTGAATAACGTCGGTTTTTTGGTTTTCCGAAAAACCAAAAAACAACACCGGTTCTTTTTTAAACTTTGTTAATATGTTTTGGATGCATATTGTTCTAGTATTTGTCCAGGCTGTTACATACAATTAGCCTCTGTTGCTACCTGCTGGTGGTGAGTAAATATTAAAATCAGTTAAAATTGACAACCGGTCCGCGATTGTTTTTGAATGTATCTACCGGTCCTTGGCACAATAAAGGTTGGGAACCCCTGAGCTAGACGACTAACTTATCAGTTTTGTGTTTGTGGAGTATGATACTGATGGAAGAGCCGCTCTGATTCTTACTTCATGTTTCGTTCAATGTTTCCTCACAGCTCATCACATGAAGATCTGAAGAGGAGCGATCGCTGCAGAACATCACGGGGAAGCGTCTCCATTGAGTCACATCACGGGGGGCGTCTCCATTGAGTCACATCACGGGGGGGGCGTCTCCATTGAGTCACATCACGGAGGGGCGTCTCCATTGGAGTCACATCAGTTTGTTTTCATGTCAAACTGTTTCATACGAGTTGTTTTATAACGGTGTGACTTGAGTTTAGATTTCCAGAATAGCTCAACGTGGGTTAGGCTTAGGTCATGGTTTGGCTAGATTTATTTTTCTACATTGATTTCCCTCGGAGTAAAGTGTGCGAGTTGTTTCCGCAGCAAAGTCCAGTAGCTCTCTTATGTGACGCCAAATCAGATCTTTGCCTCGCAAGGACGTCACGTTTTTATTTCTGGATGAAGATTTGTAAATATGTGTTTCTAATAAGGTGCAGCTGTTTTTCATGAAGTCATTCGGTCATCTATAAAAGCTGTTTTTGTACGCTTGGTTCCTTTGCTCCATCAAACATTACTTCACAGTTTAAAGTCCTTAAACTAATCTTCTGTACTTACTAATGATTAAAATTGTACTTTTTAACTAAATGGGCTTTGATTTTTTTGTGCATAACGTCCAGGGGTCCCAACGTGCGAGCTGCAACACAGGATCGCTTTCCTTTCACTCGTTTGGATTCATTTCACCTTTGACCTGCATGTGAAAGAGCACGACTCAATATGTGTTTGGATTCATATTTAATCAAATGATGTTACTAAGTTTCAGTGGCGAGCCGTGAGCTTTATACCTAGGCCCTCTGACCCCCACCCCTTCCCTCGGAAAAAAAGAAGAAAAAAAGAGTTATTACGTCACAGCGTATACTTCAGCGGAATATCAAAACAACGGCCCAGGGTGCAAAACGCATCAATGACAGCGACCCTCTACCACACAAAACAACACCTGTGAACCCCATTTGTGTTCTTTGACATTGAAAAGGATATTGCATTGTGTTTGTTATTTTCGTTGCAGTTGTATGTCTTAAGTGTAATTTGGCATGCTTTTATTTTGAAGGCGAGTTCACGCTGTTGACAGGAAGTTGTTGTTGCTATGGAAACAAGAAAAGTTTCACAGCGGGCGGAACTTGTCATAAAGTCCGCGATTATAAAACCCACCCATTTAGAGGGAAGATATGATTGGTCTATTGTACTGTCATTTGACATTACTCTCTCGTTCAGTTACTATAGCGGGCCCTCTGTGAATCGCAGAGAGGGCCAGACAGCTTTTTTCATGTAAACCCTTCACATTCAAACAGAGACTGAACAGGCAGATTCGAAGGATTTATTTCTTTGGAAATGTTATTTTATTGAATCAAGTTTTTTTTCGGTAAAACTAATGAAAAATATAACAAAAATAATATTAAAAAAATATATATTTTAAAAAAATATATTTTTTTTTAATGTTTTTAAATATTATTTTTTGGAATATCTTAGGCCCTCACAGAGGGCCTAGAGGGCCCTGACGGCTCGCCACTGCTAAGTTTTTATATGTACAAAAGTGGTGGGGCACAAAAAACGTAGATGTTTATATATAAGCTTCTGCAGTGACGTGCAGTGAGGTTCATGGCTGGTGAGGCACTGGCACTGACTCTTCAGGTTTACAAATATTATATTTTGACCTAAACTAAAATATTATATTTTCAAAAGCTTTTTTTGTCTGATGCTTCGATTACTTTTAAACAGACAGTTCAACAAAAGGATACCCAACATTTTTCATTTTATCATTTAAATATTGGATTGTTCTCTCTTAGTAAGATCCCATTTTCAATAAAAATGGTGGTCTTACCTTGACTTGAAGATGAAGTCCATTTACCTATCCTTCTGGACAAAAATCTCTATTACTTTTTTGTAAAAGTCCTCCTTATCTTCTTGCGGTTTCAAAAGTCGAATCATAAATCCAATCGATACATTTATGATTTGAAAATTATAAAAGTCGGGTAGACATGTGGATATTATCCGGCTGAACAAAACGTGCATTTATCTAACAGGTACGTTTCCCACAGATCGTATTTCGAGCTATTTTCTAAAATCCTATGGAGAAATCTCTTTCTAGACGGGTTTTAGGACGCGTCACTGCAGCTCTCGTCTCCTCTTCACACACTTTTCGCGGCACACGTACTTACAGCCAATCAGCTCTGAATTATGTGAGATGACGTTTGGTAGGTATATCAGCACACTGCCCCTATGGCGATTATTTTTTTTGCCGCACACATTGAATGGAAAAAGACTCTGAGCATGCGCAGTGTAGTTTTTACAGTTCCCATTCACTTAGACAGCAGAGAGAGGGGCTTGATCGGGACTTGACCCCCGTCGCTTAACATGGCTCAATAGGCACACTGTAGACCAGGGGTGGGGAACCTCCGGCCCGGGAGACCATTTGATACGGCCCTCGAGGTCATTTATAAACACATGCAAAAAATTAAGAGGATGTTAGGTCCACCCCCATTTAAATCATGCTCACATGGAACGGAAACTAAATACATTTGCACACATCTTGTGTCCATATCTTTCTGTTGTGGTGGTCATGCCACCCCGTGCACGTGCATGCATGCGCGAGTCTATCTGGATTAAGAGGTTGCTTTTTCTTTGCACAGCATGAAAGAAAGGCCAAATGAATGGGCTGTGATTTAGTTTTTTTAAGCAGAGGTCAATAATTTGTACGGCCCTCGGAGGATGTTGAAAAAATTGAAATGGCCCTTGAGAGGAAAAAGATTCCCCACCCCTGCTGTAGACACTAATTAGAAGAACACAGACTAAAACAGCAATGTACAGACGAATCGCTGACACTAGGTGGGGCTGCCCCTAATGACCAGTCGCCACTGGCAAGATACTGAACCCTGAGTTGCTCCCTGTGTGTCTGTCTGGAGCAAGGGGTGCTGCTCTGCATGATTCCAGTGTGAATGGGTGAATGTATGTAAAGAGCTTTGAGGGGTCGTAAAGAGTTATACAAGTGCAGTCCATTTGCCAATTACCATCACATGTATTTATTTTCAAACTGTCTGAAACCTTGAATCTCTTCACTCTGTTGCTTATGATTTTCTTTCAAGAAAAAAGGATTAGGAAGGAAGACTGCACAACTAACCACCCAACAATATGAGAGGTGCCAGATGTACATAATGGGTTGTTTTAATATTTTTGCCGTTATTTAATTTATGTAATCCTAGGTTAGCCATAGTCTCCTTAGTAACGGAGCAGCTATAAAAGCCTGTCACCATGGCAACACGTCAGACCTGGCTGGGAGTCCTCCGGTGAGTGAGAGATACATCTATAAATGTTAATATAAAGTCGATTTAAGAGAGAGAAAGTAATTACATTGACATTCAGAGTAATTATTGATATGTTCTGAGATATGTGTCTATTATCTTTTGTTAATGTGTTAATTGTTAATATTAATATTAATCTTTGATTCGGGTCAAAGTTTAACCGTTGGTCAGTTAACGGTTATTGAGTTCAGCTAAAGTTCATGAGCAGCCTCTTTACTGTGTCAGGCTACTTTGATAATATGTTACACTTATATTGTTACTGAGACCGGACTTTCATATTTCTCCAGATCCCCAAAGTGTTTTTTAAGCTTTTTAATCATATTTGAATCCTCGTAGCCGTCAGTGTTTCTTCGTTGGAGTTTAACGGTTAGCCGTTAGCTGTTAGCCGTTATCCCGCCGCCATCTTTAAAACAGGCTGTTCTGTTAAGAAGAGCGAAGATGGAGGAGAGACTCGGCTGAAGACAAACTAAATTTACACTGAAAACATATTTGAATATGAGTGCATCATGTGCCGGAAGATAAACCAACACACAGAAACATAATGGTGAGGATGTGAGACAGTTTTGTTGAAGTCTAATTATATTTAAATATTGTCCTCTTGCGGAAGTTTGACTAAATAATTTATTTTACCAAATGTATTATCTAGAAATGTTAAGCCTTGTATTTTTTCCATCAGGCTAATATTTTAAATGTATTTCCCAGAAAGCTTGCTATATATGTTGGCTAATTCGAGCTAGCTAGCCATGTTAATTAATGCTAGCTAACTTGATGGCTAGCTGGTGAATCTACAGTTAAGTTTTATGTGATTTTATTTCTAGGCTACTTAAGATAAAGCACACATGTACTTAATGTCAAGTGTTGGAAATAATGATGTGATTTATTTGTTATCAGTTACTGAAAATATGTAAATTACAGTTGCTAATCAAAATGTTGTCTACAACAGGGTAACATCCAAATATATTATTTTCTTTGAAAGGCCTATAAATAATTAAACATGCATTCTGTTGCTGTTTTTAAATTAAAGTTATATAAGAAGACTCTGAAGAAAATGTTGACAAATCTTAATTCAAGGTATATTCAATATGAAAATATAAAAGTTTGACAGTAGATAGTACTTAGTAATGCTTTTAACATGTGTAAGGTACTTCTACTTTACTTAAGTCCATCACCTTTATACTTCTACTAGGAAAATGCATCATCAAAGATATGAAAGGATGACTCTAGCAAAATGTGGTTTTCACAGGACAAGGTAACAAACATATTATCTTATTGAAATAACCTTTGCAAAGTTTTGGGAAAATTCATTGAGATTTAGAGGTGGAACACAGCATGTGAAAAATATGAAAATGTGCCGTTTTGGGTGTTTTACTAGGCAATTTCTAAAAAGGCAAGAAATTGTTTTTGAGAACAACATCTATTTTTAATAGAACAACATTTATTTATCTAAAAACAAAAAGAACAACATTGAAATTGAGTCCTGGTCCAGCTTGCGCTTGCAGTGGCGCAGATTTGGCTGTTTAGAGCGGTCATGCACATTCTGCAGGTGCTCCTGGCTGCTGCCACAAAGTCTGAGGTGAGTTTGACGCCACGCTCGGCACAGTCATTCACAACATTGATGATTGATGATAAGGCTCGTTATCAAACAAAGGGAGGAGCTGCAGACAGGTGAGGGTGTTAAAGTCCAACTATGAAGTCAGAGTGCCAGACTCCATTTTACACCTGGACAGAGCAGGAGGAAAACAGGGTGAGTGTTAACTCCAGAGTCTGCTGGGTTTTTCTGACATTAATAATTTACTCTGTTGAATTGTATGTATATAAAATAGGTAATCACCAAAAATATAGTTCCTGGAGTCCAAGGTGATATCCCCCAATGTTGTGACCTTTTTTAATTTCCTGGTTTCTGAGCCATCATAGTGACAGCCCAGCGCGGCCTGTCTGAAGTCTGACGGATTTGTAGAATTTAAACCAAAGTTTGTCATTATGATGGTTTGGATTGACATAATGTAATTGTGTTATTATAATGTATGTGTGTGTGTGTGTGTGTGTGTGTGTGTGTGTGTGTGTGTGTGTGTGTGTGTGTGTGTGTGTGTGTGTGTGTGTGTGTGTGTGTGTGTGTGTGTGTGTGTGTGTGTGTGTGTGTGTGTGTGTGTGTGTGTGTGTGTGTGTGTGTGTGTGTGTGTGTGTGTGTGTGTGTGTCTGCAGTGTTACTGGTTTATCTCTCACACTGGAGAAGATGAGTGATTTAAAAGATGAAGAAGAGGACAAGTCTCCATTCTCCAGCTGTCTGTCTCTGAAGAGGGACCGGTCTAGAGAGGACCCTCCAGACTTCAGTGATGAACCTGGACCCTCAGACACAAAGTAAGACTCTGTTTCTACTGTAACCTGACCTGAAGAGGATTCAGTTTTTATATCATCTGATAATATAACTTTTTTTTAATGATCGCAGTAAATGATCTTAGTAGAGCAGCAACGTTAAATTGAACTCTTGCTCCTTGGCATCATCAGCGTTAGTAAATGATCTACTGGTGAAATCATCCTCACACTCTACATGTTAGACTTTGTGTTAAATCAAGCTAATAAAATACAAACATGTAAAACGTTTCACTCTCAAATGAATTGTAACAGCAGGACTGAAAGTTCAAAACAAGTCAAACTATCTGGAATCGGGTAAACAGACAGAAGTAAAAATCTGCTCTTTGCAAGAACTAATGATGTGTGTAAAACATGTGTTGTTTCCACAGACAGAGAGCAGGGTCTCCAGCCCCCAGCTGTCTGTCTCTGAAGAGGGACCGGTCTATAGGGGAACCTCCAGACTTCAGTAATGAACCTGGACCCTCAGACACAAAGTAAGACTCTGTTTCTACTGTAACCTGACCTGAAGAGGATTCAGTTTGATATCATCTGATAATCTGAATTGTTCTTTAATGATATATATATATTGATTGATATATATTATATATATTTTCGTAAAAAAATGTGTTGACTACCTAAGCATCTTTTTAGATGTATTTTAAAGATGTTTATTAGTAATAGTGATAACCTGGTGAGCTGGTTGTGTTTAGCATTAGCAGATATAACAGATTTCTGTACGGTGCGATAAAATGTCAATTCAAAGACACACATTTGTACCTGGCAACATGAATGAAATGAAGATGAGAAATACATATCCCCTGTGTATTCACAAAACTTGAGAATTATAACTTGAGGGTCAAGTTTGTGACAAAAACCTGTCAGTGTTGAGATCCTGCTCCTGTGGTCACTGACCTGCTGAGATAAATCAGAAGAGGGAACATCAGCACCCAGAGCTCTACAGCACCTCGTATTAAATCAGAGTTATTCATGTTCCTGTATAAACCAGAGACTGTCTGTGGTGCTAACAATATAATAGCTGCTGTTCTGATGACTGGATGGAGTTATTTTGGAGAATTTGCCACCTTGTTGTACCTTTGGTGAGAATCAGCTCCACTAATGCAAAGTGTAATAAAGGATGTGTTCATCTCCACAGAGGGAGGAGGAAGAGTCCTGTTCCTGTGGAGGAGCAGCTGTCCAGCTGTGCTCTGTGTCAGGACGTCCTGAAAGATCCAGTCTCTACCAGCTGTGGACACTGGTTCTGCAGAGAGTGCATCACCTCATACTGGGAGCAGAGACCTCCATCAGGAGACCCCTCCTGTCCTCAGTGTGGAAAACGATCCAGAACCAGAGCTGGCCTGCAGACAGCCAGTCAGACCAGCTCTGTACGAGGTAAGTCTGAAATCAGGATTGTTCCTGGTTAATTTGTTCCAGCAAAGACATTCATTTCGAACCCTTTATTTATTTATTTTGGTTTATCGTTATCATCAAGTTCTCAAAAATCATTGTCCTGATTCTCTCATGTTTCCTTCTCTTCCAGCAGATAGTGGTCTGGAGGAGGTTTTAGATGAACATAGGCTCAGTCTGAGGAGGAGATGTGAACGTGTGACTGAAGGATGTGAACGTGTGACTGAAGGAACCGATGAAAGTGAAACCCTCCTCAACAGGATCTTCACTGAGCTCTACATCACACAAGGCCAGAGTGAAGAGGTTAATACCCAACATGAGGTGAGGCAGCTGGAGACAGCTTCCAAGAAGAAGTCCCTCCATGAAACTCCAATCAAGTGCCAGGACATCTTTAAAGCCTCACCTGACCAACAGACTCACATCAGAGCGGTCCTGACCAACGGAGTCGCTGGAGTTGGAAAAACCTTCTCAGTGCAGAAGTTCACTCTGGACTGGGCCGAGGGTTTGGGAAACCAAGATGTCAGTCTGGTGATCCCGCTCTCCTTCAGGGAGCTGAACCTGATCAAAGGTGAGCAGTACAGTCTTCTCAGGCTGCTCCATGTTTTCCATCCAACCTTACAGAAGGTCACAGCAGAGCAGCTGGCTGTCTGCAAAGTGCTCTTCATCTTTGACGGCCTGGATGAAAGCAGACTTTCTCTGGACTTCAGAAACAATGAGGTTGTGTCTGATGTCTCTCAGCAGTCCTCAGTCAACGTGCTGCTGACAAACCTCATCAGGGGGAAGCTGCTTCCCTCGGCTCTCATCTGGATAACTTCCAGACCTGCAGCGGCCAATCGGATCCCTCCTGAGTGTGTGGACAGGGTAACAGAAGTACGAGGCTTCACTGACGCCCAGAAGGAGGAGTACTTCAGGAGGAGATCGAGTGATGAAGACCTGTCCAGCAGAATCATCTCTCACATCAAGAGCTCCAGGAGCCTCCACATCATGTGTCTGATCCCAGTCTTCTGCTGGATCACTGCTGCAGTTCTGGACCACATGTTGACTACAGACCAGAGAGGAGAGCTGCCCAAGACCCTCACTGACATGTACTCACACTTCCTGCTGGTTCAGACCAAGAGGAAGAAGCAGAAGTATGAAGAGGGACATGAAACGAGTCCACAGCAGCTGACGAAGGCTGACAGGAAGGTTCTTCTGAAGCTGGGGAGGCTGGCGTTTGAACATCTGGAGAAAGGAGACATCATGTTCTACCAAGAAGACCTGCAGCGCTGTGGTCTTGGTGTCACCGAGGCCTTGGTGCACTCAGGAGTTTGTACACAGATCTTCAAAGAGAGAGAGTGATCTTTGAGAAAACAGTCTACTGCTTTGTTCATCTGAGCATTCAGGAGTTTCTGGCTGCAGTCTACATGTTCCACTGTTACACCAACAGAGACACAGTGGTACTGAAGGACTTCCTGCAGGGAGACTATAGCAACAGGTTTAGCAGAGATCAGGATTACCCATCCCTGCCTGTCTTCCTAAAGGGAGCCATGAAAAAATCGCTCCAAAGTAAAAATGGCCACCTGGACCTGTTTGTCCGCTTTCTCCACGGCCTCTCTCTGGAGTCCAACCAGAGACTCTTAGGAGGCCTGCTGGGTCACACAGACAACAGACCAGAAACCATCCAGAGAGCCATCAGCAACCTGAAGAAGATGAACAGTGATGAAATCTCTCCTGACAGGAGCATCAACATCTTCCACTGTCTGACAGAGATGAAGGACCTCTCAGTACATCAGGAGATCACAGAGTTCCTGAAGTCAGAGAACAGATCAGAGGAACTCTCTGTGATCCACTGCTCTGCTCTGGCCTACATGCTGCAGATGTCAGAGGAGGTTCTGGATGAGTTGGACCTGAACAAGTACAACACATCATGGGAGGGACGACGGAGACTGATTCCAGCTGTGAGGAACTGCAGAAAGGCCAAGTAAGTCCAGATGTGACTAACTTTATAAATGAATGTGGATCAGAAGTTTCATTATTCCAATAAACACTATAACATTTCCGCTGTCTTAAATACTTTGAGAACAAATTGAAATTATCCTCCTAGTTATTCTATTTATTTATAATATTGTGACATTTTAAAGTTTTTTCTTCTCTTCACATTATTTTTGACTTGTTAAACAAATGCAGGACTTTAGAGGTTTTCTCACAGCAGCATGTGATCACACCATACAGCAGTATTTACAGTTATCAGTAAATTCAGTTATTAATATATCATTGCAGTTTCTTCAACATTAAATCAGATCTGTTTTTACCACAATGCTTAAGAGTTTAAAATAAGATCTATTATTAAATTAAACTGACATGATGTGTTAAAAGTTGTTCCATCAAATTCAGTAATGTTTACTCTGTTTTATACTAACACGTGTTGTGATATATGTGTTATTATAGACTTTCTATCTGTAGACTCTCAGAGACTGAATGGGAAGTCGTGGCCTCAGCTCTGAAGTCTGAGCCCTCCCATCTGAGAGATCTGGACCTGAGTTGGAACGAGCTGCAGGATTCAGGAGTGGAGCTGCTGAGTTCTGGACTAAAGAGTCCAAACTGCAGACTGGAGGCTCTCAGGTCAGTTCACTGACTGCACTTCATAATTTCTTTATATTTTGTCTGTTTTTCCTGAATATTTAGCAGAATAACAAAGATCAGAGAAGGTAAATGTGTGACGGAGAGAGTTTGAGCTTCCACAGACTCACTCTGTGCTCCATGAGTCAGTGGAGATGCTGTCAGTACTGATGAGCTGTGAGGGAGATGAAGGAGTTATTAAAGATCTGAGAGAAACTGCTGCAGAGAGTTCCAGATTATCAGGGATTTGTTTCTAAATCATTGCTGACATTAAAACCTTCTTAATCTCTGAACAGATTATTAAACCTGGAGTTATTTCAAACAGGAACATTGTTTTCTAAATTTACATCATGTTTTCTTTATTCAGTCTGAGGGGCTGCAGTTTGTCAGAGATCAGCTGTTCTGCTCTGGCCTCAGCTCTGAAGTCCAACATCCATCTGAGAGATCTGGACCTGAGTGAGAACGAGCTGCAGGATTCAGGAGTGAAGCTGCTGAGAGATCTTCTGGAGAGTCCAGACTGCAGACTGGAGACTCTCTGGTCAGTAAGGGGTCTGTGCTGGTTCAGCAGTATTGTATGAAACACAGGGAGGTGTTTCTCTCACTGAGGAATCACAACAGATCAGTGATGTTACCACTGACTGCAGGCTCTCTCATTCTTCCATCAACTATATATTGAAAGCTGAAAATGCAAAGCCACATTTAGTTAGTGAGCAACTTTCTAACAGACATATAGGATTTTACAGAAGAGTGGAAAAGGTAGTCTGTTTTGTTTCCTGTCATGTTTTTAGTTTCTAATGACTGGTTACTTCCTGTAATGCAGCTGAGAGCTGTGGCAGTCAGTCGTAGTGTTTGCAGAGAAGATATGATGGGATGTAAAGCATGAGATCAGGACTCTGAAGCTGACTCAAAGAACAAACACTTATTTTAAACTGGATCTAAAACTGTTGGGTTGTGTTCATCCCTACAGGATCAGATATTATGAGACGATCAGAGCCAAGATCCAGAAGACCTGTGAGTACTGAAACCATATCCTCCATTCATCAAGATATTGTACTGATCTTAAAAGGTCTTTAGAACAACAACAATATATTTTTACTCCATCTTGTTACAGCTCTTTTCAATCACTTTGGCTGCTAATGTTTCTCTTTGTTCAAGTTTAATTATTATTGTTGTTTTTTTCTCTTTCACTTCTTCTCTCCATCAGGTGAGCGCAGGTTTTTTGTTTGTTTGATACGGGGCGTGTTTGAGACGTATAGAGGAGTGTGAATGCACTGTATTTTGGAAAATTATCAAGATGGCTGCAGCTGATGAGGAACTTCCTATCTCAATATGAAATGAAAAGACTCAGTAGCGTAAAGCTTTTCTGAAGAAGAAAGATCTGTTACCATATTTCTGCAGAATCTACTTGACCAACTCTTATCAGATTTAGGATCCAGTTTATTACCAATTAAGTTTTTGCACATGGGAGGAATTTGATTTGGTGTTTTGCTGCAAAGAGAAGAAACATAAATATAGAAGAGAAAAATACATTCTTAAAAATGAAGGAATATATTTCATTACATATCAGTTCACCTGCTGTGATGTGCAGTTATAGGCTGGTGTTAATGTGCTGTGATTGGCTGTTACTGTGATTGACTGGAAATACTGTGCTGTGATTGGCTGGCACTGCTGTGACCGTGTTACAGGGCCGCTCAGCACTACGTCACATGTTAACCTGTTAACCTGAACCTGTTAAGCCCCACGGACCCTTCTGCGGGTCCGAAACCACAACATCTGCAAGCAACAGTGTCTGAGGGCTTCTTAAGATTTAATAAACTATGAATGTTTCATATCCATGTAACGGGAAGAAACTCAGCTAACTGATGATTTTTTTTATTTTTAGCAAAAAAATACACAAGGCTAACGCTGAGCCTCTGAATTAGCCCTGAGCGAAAAAATGCTAACGCCGTTAGCACAGAACTCACGGTATAACACCCTTATTACTTATCGTAACTGCACATCCAACCCATCGATTAGCATCGTGAGAGTACACAGAATCGATAGGTATCTATAGCATCACTACATGATCAGAACTCGCGACATTACAAACAAAAACAGACATCGCAACACGTGGCTTTAGGTAGCCAACACGGCAATACGTCTTACCTTTGTCGTTGTCTGATCAAAAGTTGTCTTCAATGGCATTAAAACGATAAAAACACTACTGAAGGTTAATCCAACGTGTCTGTGTCACTTTGAAATGATTTCTGATAATCCATCATATTTATGGCAAAAACTGAGTTTTCATATATAGCTGCTATGATAGCTACTAGAGTGTATGACAGCTTCCTGTTTTGGGCATTCTGGCTACGCATCACTCTATTCACCAATGAGTAATGTTTAGATGGATTTAGGGACTTCCTCTCGATTCCATTGGCTCTAACGGTTAAAAAGAGATGCCAATCATCAAAATCGACCAATGTGTTCCAGAGATATGGAAAATCCACCCAAATGACCCTAGAAGTGTTTTTTTTTTTTTTTAAATCTCTCTAAAAAGGTCAAATGTCACTTGTTTTGCATCAATCTTGATACAGGGTACTTATTATATGTTATAGTTTGGATTCCTAAAGCTTTTAGTCTACTATCCCATCATTCAAGGGTAGTTTTCACTATAAGTAATGTTTCTTTTTTGGACGGACTCTATAATTTACATTTTTTTACTTTGTTCAATCTGAATTTACTTTAAAATAAAAAACATCTATATTGATTCTGACTTTTCTACATCCAACTCACAGGTTTATCATTGCTTTGAGAAAAAAGATTAATTTAACCCTTTTAGAAGGTGGTCATTTGTTCTGGGAATGGCATTTTCGAGCCTGAGACCTGAAAAACAGGCTCAGGGTTTAACAGGTTAACAGGCAGAGATGGGGTCGTTACTAAAAAAAAAGTAATATATTACACTACTTCGTTACTCTCTACATAAAGTAACTCGTTACTTTACTCGTTACTTTACTCGCAGGGCCGGCCCGCCCCTCCCTACAGGCAGATCACGCAGACTGCTAAAGTTTCAAATGTTCTCTTTAGTTCAGTTTCCATTGTCGCATAAGACTGATCCAGATAGCTCTGACCATGGCTGTCCTCTGTCTCCTGCTATCTGTATTTTGCGCAGTATATCTCTGAAAGATGGTGATTCCACTGTGCAAATGGGCAACATTACCTCTACTATGAAGGATGCTACAAGCCTGTCCATCTCTGCTTTGGTTACCGGTCCTCCAAATTCTAATTTGTGCCGCTTCGGAGTCGGCGGCGGCGCACTCACAACATCCTCACTCTGGGTTCGGGGGTCCTTAGCTATTAGCTTCACTTTAGCATGTGTTCTTTGCAGGTGTTTGTTGAGGTTTGACGTGGTGTTTGCAGCAGTGGATAACAGCTTCTGGCCTGGACACAGTTTGCACCTCACCGTCACATTCCTGTCTATTCTTCGGACGAACTCAAAATAATGGGCATACCTCCACCCCTCAAAAGTTATCGCTGACTCAGCCATGTTTATGCAGCACTGCACGCGGAGATGTGGACGCGCAAGTCGCACAGATTACGTACATATAAACCTGCGGCGGAAACCCCTCTTGTCTGTCAGTGTGATTATGACTGATTTTATAAAAGTAACGAAGTAACGCGTGTCGGGGCAATGTTAGTAACTGTAGTGTGATTACTGAATTATAAAAGTAACGCGTTACACTACTCCGTTACCGACAAAAGTAATATTATTACAGTAACGCGTTACTTTGTAACGCGTTACACCCAACTCTGTTAACAGGTTAATAACCCGTTGGAAATCAACAATGAACTGACAGGATTGAATATATGATTTGATCTTACCATGACGTTATGCTCTGGAATTGTAGTTTATGATATTATTTATGAACACAGAGTCCTGTAGTGAACCCTGAAATGTCTAGTACCCCAAAGTTTTATGATAGTAATGTATAGTAGGGTCTCCAGCTCATAGAAACTGCCGGATGCTAACCTGCATATGTTGGAGCATTTGCACAGTTAGCATAAGTTGAGTTAATTAGCATTAATTAGCATATGCAGATAATAGTAAAAAAATGGCTTGGCCAATTTTTACAATTTTTGAGTGGTTTTGGCAGTTTTAACCAGAAAGTGGCCATATTTGTACTGAGTGCAGATTTGGATGAATTTTGGGTCGATTTAAAAGTTTTAGGGGACTCAGAAGGGCCATTTTGGAGCCCAGACATTTCAGAAATGGATTCGCAAGGATTAGCTATTGTCTACATATGCTAATTATTAGTGAACATTATGCTAATTGTGCAAATTGCCAAACATATGCAAGTTAGCATCTGGCCGTTTCTGTGTTGGGAACTGGTACTATACATTCATATCATACAACTTTAGGGTACTCAACATTTCAGGGTTCACTTATGCCCCTTTCACACCAACGCGGTTCCGGGGCCGGTTCGGAGCTGGAGCTTGAAAAGCACCGGTTTTTCCTGTTCGCAGCGGAGCCGCCTCTAAGCTCCGGAATCCGGTTCGTTTCAAGCACCAAAATGTTGTTGGTCTAGAAAGCAAGCACCGCATACGTCACGCTTACGTCAGAGGCGGGGTTAGGAGCAGGGGCATCAGTTTTAATGTTATACCATAGTAATTAATGCTGCAAAGCTGGGTATTTTGAGTTTGGCGCATGCAGAGGCTAACAACAGCTAGCTCTAACGCCATCGAATAGGACGTATATTTACCTTCTTTCTCCTACGGAATCGTCGTTGAAGTTGATGATGATGATAGTAAAGAACTTTTGAATGTAGCGACTGTAAAGTTGGTAGTAAAGTCGTCCCATTTCTTCCATTTCGTTTCGACAGCAAAACCAAAACGAGTAGCGCTTCAATACAATCGGTCATTGTTGTTGTTGTCGATGTGAGGGGGTTCCGCGCGGTTTGGCTTTATGAAGCAGGCACGCAAACGGTTACGTCATGACGCAAACGGTTACGTCATGACGCAAACGGTTACGTCATGACGCAAACGATGACGCAATGACGCAGCACCAGTCGGACTCTGGGCGGTGTGAAAAGAGCGGGAGCTAAACCGAAGAACCGGTTCCGAACCAGAAAAGCTCTAGCACGGAGCTTGAACGGGAAAAGCCTTGGTGTGAAAGGGGTAAAAACTGGCAACTAGACTATAAGCTAGCTAAAATATCTAACTTTGTGTCTATCATAGCTCCAGTTTCCTTCTCACCTGAACACACATCTGAATCTTCATAGAGGTAATCCTATAACCTGCTCCTTATACTTTTTTTTTAAAGTAATTGTATAATCATCTTTATTTAATGTCATGCTTTTCAAGACATCTTTTGTAAGATGGTGTACAGCAGTGGTTCTCAACCTTTTCTAGTCTCAACCCCTCAGAACAATCCGGTCCGTGACCTTTCCCCCCATTCCGTTTTATCTTCCAGGTCCAGGAAACATTGGGAAATGTTCCAAAGAAAGGTGGCCTTTTCCAAACAGAGAGCAGCGAACGCATCACTGGACAACAGAGAACCTGAGACTCTGATCCACCGTGCAGGAACCCTTCTCCGTGCCCATCTCAACAAGTGCCCATCTCAACAAGTGCCCATCTCAACAAGTGCCCATCTCAACAAGTGCCCATCTCAACAAGTGCCCATCTCAACAAGTGTCCTCAGGCAGATTACACTACACTTCTACACATTCACTTTTATCCAAAGCCACTTGCATACATACTCCATACTGCGGACAATCGACATGCTGACTGCAGTGGGGATTGAACCAGTGCTCTCCTGATCTGAAGACCAGCACACTAACCCACTGAGCCACAGCCTCATAATCCTGCGTGTGGATGGGATTCTGTTCTGCCTGTAATCAAAGCACTAAGGTTCTCTTGGAAACGCTAACAATCAGATAAAGATCAGATAAAGGCCAAGAAGAAGATGGTGAAAATATTTGTACACTCTTGAACTTCTTTGTGTTTTTCATCGCGGGTTGATTAATGTCCAATCAAATGTTTCCTTTGATTTATAACACTTGTAAAAGGAGCTCTGCTGGTATCAGTGAAACTGTGGTAATAAGGTTTAGGAGCATGAAGTCTTTATGAGATGTGATCAGATATTGTCGTAACCTTTAAGATGTGTTGTGATGACTTTAAAATGAAATGCATGTGTAGCTGCAGAGAGTGGACTCAGGTTACTGACGGGGTCTGTGTGCAGAGGAAGAACTGACCCTGGGTCAGCAGAGGCTCTGCAGTGGACATGCTTCAGATGCTGATGTGGAGACGCCTCGTACAGTGTGGAGTCTATTTTTATATAACATTACAAGACTGATTCTTATTATTACATTATTTGCTTATTGTGCTCATTTATGTGCTGTGACTTAGGAATAAATAGACCCAATCACCCCCCCCAAGTTTTGATGAGGAGGACAGGAACGAAGGGAAAAGTTACATGAGAAAGTGTTTAGCTTGCAATAATGAAAGTATCAAGGTGGAGACTGAGAGAACAGAGAGGTAGTCAGAACAGCACATCGCACCGGCCTTGAGTCTGTATGGGAGCCGCGCTCCCCCGCAGAGCTAGGAAGCAACATTATGGTTTCCCGCTATATCTGAAGAAACGTTAGAGAAAACAAATTAGTATGATGGTGCCAGAGTAGGGAGGGACTTCCACAGGCCGGCCGAATGCTGATTGGAGAATCGTGTTGCCAAGAGACCCTATCTGAGTCTGTGCACCAACCAAAGAGAACCAAGTCTAAACCATGGTATCTCTTCAGCTAGTCTTGACCAATCATGAATGTACGGCAACGTCCTGTGTAATAAAATGTATTGTTGCACGAGGTTCTTGACCGGAAATAGACTGACAGATTATAGCTTTGCTGCCTGTGTTTTCTAGGACGTGACGGAGTCCTTGGCCAAGTGATATATATCTTTTGCTCTCTCGTAATAAATAGTTAAACTTAGAAGTCGTCTGTCTTTTCTGGAATTTTGAACAACAGGAAAGAGTTTTCATGGCTTCTCTGTTCTCCTTCATAAGGCAACTCACTGCAGGCTGCTCTCTCTTTAGGAGGACGCCATGTTGCACAGGAAAGATCTGTATATAAATATACATTCATATAGTAGGGTAGGAAAGCCATTAAAGATCTGTAAGGGAGTTACAGACTAACATTGTGTTAGTGTGTTTGTTGCCTCACTCTCATCACTCTGCGCTCCGTTAAAGTTTCTGCAGATGTCTGACCTGAGTTTCCTCTGACTCTCTCTGCAGGTTACCGGTGCACAGAGTCCTGCAGGCGTCCTGTTGAAGCTTTAAAACAGAGCGTGTGCCAGAGCTGATAGCACACACTCCTCTGTAATAGCTCTGACACGTTTTTTATAAATCCAGTTTGGATAAAATGCGGTGGGTAAAAGGAGGAAGGGACATCTCACACACACCATGTCTAGAAGCTAGAAGTGGGAAGCCGTCGTGCCGTTTCAGAAAGCCATACAGACACACATGAGGCTCAGAGACAGGCTGCAGTACACACAGGATGCCTGGCTCTTCTGATGTGACAGGAAACACAAATACCTCCTTTCCTCTCCTACTCTTCCTCCTCCTCTTCCTCTCCTACTCTTCCTCCTTCTACATCTCCACTACTCCCTCCTCCTCATCCTACTCTTCCAACTCCTACATCTCCACTACTCCCTCCTCCTCATCCTCTCCTACTCTTCCTCCTCCTCTTCCTCTTCCTACTCTTCCAACTCCTACATCTCATCCTCCTCCCCTTCTGTTTTACCCTCTTCCTCCTCCTCTTCCTCCTCCCTCTCTGTTTGAAACCCGCTCCACATTGAGAGAGCATCAGAGAGCAGAGGGAGGCTCAGGGAGCTGCTTCCTCTTCCTCCGTCTGTCTGCTTGTGTGAGCATTCCTCCCGTTATCCTCTGGTCCTGTGATCGTCCTCTGATCGTACCCGGAGTGTGTCGTGGGTTTTCCCGTGTGAGAATGTGGAGTAAAGCTGAGACAGAGATCCTCTCCGGCCCGACCACGGTAAGATGCTCCTGCAGGTTCACAGCTGTGTAACATCTCTCCCTGTTAATGAAGACCCCCTTACCTCAGTGACCGTTTACACTCACGGGCAATATACCTTCAATGCAGTGCTGGAAAGTAACTAAGTACATTTACTCAAGTAATTAAGAACAATTCTGAGGTACTTGTACTTTACTTGAATATTTCAATGTTATGCTACTGTGTACTTCTACTCCTCTACAGTTCAGAGGTGCATGGTGTACTTGTACTCCACTACATGTATTGAATACCTGTAGTTACTTTACAGATCTGGATGAATGATGTGAAATATAACCAAGTGTTAAATCAGACTTTAGTTCCACCTGGAGTAAATTCACAAGCTACCCTGCAGTATACAAAGTCATTCAAACTAGCTGCACCTTTACCAGCTTTGAGAACACTTTAATGATCAATCATTATAAAACATATCATATATATTATTCTGAAATGGACCAATCTGCACAATGATTACTTTCACTGTCGCTACTTTCACTATATTTTGATGAGAATACTTTTCTACTTTTACTTGAGGAACATTTTGAATGCAGGACTTTTACTGTAACAGAGTATTCCTACACTCTGGTACTTCTACTTTTACTCAAGTACACGATCTGAGTACTTCTACTTTTACTCAAGTACAAGATCTGAGTACTTCTACTTTTACTCAAGTACCAGATCTGAGTACTTCTACTTTTACTCAAGTACCAGATCTGAGTACTTCTTCCACTTCTGCTTCAATGCACATTATACTTTCAACTATTACCTCAAACATGTTAAAGCCAGCCTCTGTGTAAAAACCTTCAGAATATAGAGAGGGATGAGCGTGGACAGTTTGGTGTGAAGAGGTTTCTGCTTCCCCTCCTCATTACTGACAATAACACAACTACGTTTTATCACAAGTTCTGTATAGATGCTAATGAGGCTTTATGTAATGCCAACTTCTGGTGAATTCAGGGGACATTTGACGACACAAACAGACACAGTTAGTGACATAAACTCCTGGATGTTTTCTTGAAATGTAGATTTGTAAGAATGAGAGAGGACCCTGTTAGACAGAGCAGCATCCTGCTAAAGGGAATACATGATCACAGGAATAAGAGCTTTAGATATATTTATATGATAAGCAGCTGAATATTTAAAACCGTCAGAGATCTGCAGGAAGTAGGACACTAGCAGAGGCTGCTTCTCGTGACGGGGATTTGTCTCTTTTTGTCCTTCATTGACGGATTCAAGGTGAAGTGAGGACACTCTGGAGCTCCTTCACAATGTGCGCTGATCTCTTACACCAGCTAAAGCAGTACTAATATCCTATTACTACTATTCACTAACACTCATCTTAATGTAACATTAACATGTTTACAAAAGGGAATATAAAGAATGAAATTGGAAAACTTGTAGCTGTGATAACCAACATCTGTGAATATATATTAAAGTTAAACTATATAAAAGCATGCCATTACATGTGTTGAAGGCAGAGATGTAATGGTGATAATGAGTGGGGGATTATTAGGGTCTGTTGGGACACTTTTGTATCAGCATGAAAACATCTGGAGGTGTATGCCAACAATTCATCATTTTTCCAAACTCCATTTTAAGGCACAATGTGTCATTTTATGCAACTAGGGGCTCTCAATCAAAACACTACAGTCTGTCATTATGATCATATTGTGTTCTTCCTCTACTCAGTAAAGAGCAGTTTGATGTTCAAATTCCACGTTTCTCTCTGGACGCCGTTGGGCTGACGCTAACGTTAGCTCAGCTTGTTTCTCTGATAACTTCAGATCCAGACGTCCCATCACTAACATCCTTAATCCAGGTCAAATGAGTTAAAAAGATGTGAGGAATATACGGTACAAATGTGTCTTGAAACTGGAAAGAATGGTAGACAATGCTGGAATGTTACCTTCATTAAAATAAAAACATTCTCTGAAACACTTTTTGTAATGTAAGTACAAAGCCCTGTTAAACTGACTGTGATCATTAGAGCAATCATATTAAAGGGGACCTATCATGCAAAATGCACTTTTGTACGTCTTTTCTACATGAATATGTGTCCCCGGTGTTCCAGGGAACTCACCAAGTGTCAGAAAACACAACCCTCTCTATTTTCCTCCATACCCAAATCTCTAAAAAAGGGGCTGCAACGGATCTGATAAAAACTGATCCAGATTTGAACACTGTCCTGACGTCAGGACGGTGGCGCTACGGCTATTGGGCCAACTCCACCAATCAGGAGGAGACAGCCACGGCCATTGCCGTTCGAAAGCGCTGGAGACGCTGTAGTACATATGCCAGGCCTGTAGGTGGTGCTGTTCTCACAGAATCTGCCCTTGCTAAAACAGAGCTAAAAAAGTGCAAATTGAGCAAAATGAGGCATGGCTAAAATGCATGATCTGTTTGGTATTTTGAAAAAAAAAAAGTATAAATATGCCTTATATAGGTATGGTCCTACACTATATTATTCAAATATAGCATGATAGGTCCACTTTAAGTTTAAATATTAGTTTCAACTTCATATAATTGCTTTCAACTAACCTAATACCGTTATCTGAAATCTGTTGACTTAATACATTTAATTAAAGTCAACGTCTCAGTTTTTACGGTGTACAGCTTTAAGGTCCCCTGGACTTTTTGAAGTTGCTTGCATGATTGTAGTTTGAAAAATACTTTGGTTCTTATTCTCCCCTTGTCCACCAGCTGCCCCCTCCTCCTCCATGATCCTCCCCTCCAGCTGTGTGTCGGGGGAGGAGGTGTACAGCACCAGCTCCTCCTCGGTGTCTCTGGACTCCAGTGTTTTCTTCACCGAGACGCCGCCTTCCTCCACCGCAGACTTCCTGGAGTTCTTCGTCGTAAACGTCGGGGGAAGTCGCCACGTGCTGTCGCAGGATCTGCTGGCGTCGCACCCGGAGACCCGGCTGGGGAAACTGGCCCGATGCAGCCGAGAGTCGGCGCTGGAGCTCTGTGACGACGCAGACTTCCTGGAAAATGAGTTCTTCTTTGATCGAAACTCACAGACCTTCCAGTAGGTGGCGCCTCAGTCTCTCACCTGAGGCGTGCATGTTGACCTGTGGTCATAACAACACTGCTACCTTCAATGTGAAGAATATTCCCACTATAAAGAAACAGAATCCTGCAGGGTGTTCAGTATTAAAATGAACAAAATATTGTCCGTATATTTTGCATGTATGTGCATAGGGTGGATATTACAGTGTCTAATGTCCATACTAGAAAGGCACTGGTAGAGAGGCAGTGGTGCATTCATGGGCGTCTCAGACGGTCCCAATTCCCAAGTTGGGATCGTTTTTCCCTTTTCTGTTTGTTCATGAGCTTTCAGTCGTAAGATGGAAACATCATGGACGCTCGAAAGAAGATGAGTAGTATTTTTTTCTCAGAGCGTTTAAAAAACACATCTGTTTCAGAGAACTTGTTCTGACTAGACGCATGCTAATTTACCCAGTTAAAACTAAACGTGTGTATCCACGCGGGGTTTTGGATCCTTCCCAGATTGAATGGGTTCCTTCGCCGCTGCTTCCACCAAGTTAAATGTAAATCAGACCAGAAGTTTTTTTCTGTTATCCTGCGTGTATCCCAATTTCGAATATGCGCACAATTTATCGAAATAAGGCCTGTTTGGAAACACTTTGCAATGTAACGGCATGTAGCAGGTGAACACATCTTTAGGTGGAAATGCAGACAACGTTGGGCTGAAGGAACCTCTTAGTTCCTCTAGGAGGGACCTGCTTCATTAAAAACCGTACTGGCAGTAAACCTTGTGATGCCTCTGCCGACAGGTATGTGATGAACTTCTACCGGACGGGTCACCTGCACGTGAGGGAGGAGCTGTGTGAGATCTCCTTCCTGCAGGAGATCCAGTACTGGGGCATCGACGAGCATCGCATCGGCGCGTGCTGCCGCGAGCGCTACCATCGCCGCAAGGAGCAGAAGGAGACCCTCGACATTCAGAGAGAGTTTGAGCCCGAGGACCACGATGAGGACTTTGTGGGTGCAGCATTCCCGGCTTTGCGTCGCCGCCTGTGGGACCTGCTGGAGAAACCCAAGTCTTCCCGCGCTGCTCGAACCTTTGGTCTGCTCTCGTTCTCCTTCGTGGTGCTGTCAGTCATCAACATGGTGCTCATCTCGGTAGACTTCGAGGAGGGCTTCGATGAGAGTGACGTTGGCTTCGATGCACCACTGCTCTCCGTTGTCCTGGAGCACGTGTGCATGGTTTGGTTCACGGTGGAGCTGGCACTGCGCTTTCTCTGCGTGAGGGATAAGGCTGGCTTCAGTCGAAGTGTTTTCAACGTCATCGACCTGCTGGCCGTCCTGCCGTTCTACGTGACGCTGGCGGTGGAGCGGCTTCACGGAGAGTCTGCGGAGCTGGTGAGCGTGGGCCGCGTGGTGCAGGTCCTCCGACTCTTCAGGTCGCTCCGTATGTTGAAGCTGGGACGGCACTCCACAGGTAATAAGATGCAGCCGTCTCAAAAACTGATCCCAAACAGCTTAACTGCAGCTTTGATTGACACATTGTCTCCTGGATAATGGTTGCAGTTAGTGAGAAAAGGAACACAACTGCTGGTTTGGCTTAGTAAAGAGTGTGGTTTGGCTTTAAATGAATCTGTTGTTAAAGTGGACCCATCATGCTATATTTGAATAATATATTGTAGGGCCATACCTATATAAGGTATATTTATACGTTTTCTTTTTCAAAATACCAAACAGATCATGCATTTTAGCCATGCCTCATTTCGCTCTATGTGCTCTCCTCCACCCTGTCTTTGCATGCGCTGCAGCTGACCACGCCCCCCTGCAAAGGAGGGGGCCGAGTTACGAGCGTTGTGTTACCATGCTGTTACCATGCCACGGCAACCTCTCATTCCCCTGATAGGTCAGCTCCTCCGTCCTGACGTCAGGACAGTGTTCAAATCTGGATCAGTTTTTATCAGATCCGTTGCAGCCCCTTTTTTAGAGATTTGGGTATGGAGGAAAATAGAGAGGGTTGTGTTTTCTGACACTTGGTGAGTTCCCTGGAACACCGGGGACACACATTCATGTAGAAAAGACGTACAAAAGTGCATTTTGCATGATAGGTCCCCTTTAAATAAATACAGATGGGACATTTACTCACTGAACGTTGGCTGCAGTCTGTTGGGTTCAAAATCTGTTTTCATCAACCCATCCTATCCACCAGTGGACTGATTAGAAACGTATTTGTGATACGCCAAAAACAAACGTATCCTTGGATGAAATAGAGTTACCTTGAAATAGAGTTACCTTGAAATAGAGTTACCTTGAAATAGAGAGTAGTCTGACAGAATACATTTGGGTTATTCTGCATTTTCACTTGAAGAAATATTGAGGTCTAGAAAAGAATCATCCACCACCGCAAGGGGCAGAGACAAAATATATTTGTATAAAGCACCTAGAACAAAGTTCCTCGTCCACCTGGATTGGTGCTTCTGTAAATGATATAGCTTGTGTAATTTACATCTCGTATATTGAATGCACGCCTCTTACTTCATATTCTGCCTCTTTACTTTGCTGTAGGAATGCAAACGTCCCCTCTGTGGGAGTAAGAAAGGGATCCTGATTCTGATTTGAAGGCACCAAAAAACAGCTTTGTTAATACCCATGTCCAGAAGTGCATCAGTCTACTGACGGTTGCATCTAGACGCCCTCTTGACGAATAAGTACTCGAGATATGTTCTTAAAATGTTCCTCCTTTCTGCCCAGGCCTGAAGTCTCTGGGTTTGACCATCGCTCAGTGCTACGAGGAGGTGGGCATCCTGCTCCTCTTCCTCGCTGTGGGCATCTCCATCTTCTCCGCGGTGATCTTCGCTCTGGAGCACGACGTTCCCGCCACCACCTTCACCAGCGTGCCGGCCGCCTGGTGGTGGGCGACCACCTCCATGACCACGGTGGGATACGGAGACGTGCGCCCGGACACGGCCGTGGGGAAGCTGCTGGCCTTCATCTGCATCCTGTCCGGGATCCTGATCCTGGCGCTGCCCATCGCCGTCATCAACGAGCGCTTCTCCGCACGTTACTTCAGCTTGCAGGTGAAGGAGGCGGCCATGCAGCACGCAGAGATGCTGAAGATGCTGGAGCGGGGCTCTGTGGGGGGGGTAGGCGTGAACCTGAGGGACGCCTACGCCCGCAGCGTCCTGGAGATGATGAGGCTGCACGGGGAGGAGAGGGCGAGCAGCCAGAGCAGCGTGGAGGACGACCTGTGGTTGTAGAACCAGGAGACCTCAGGGGTAGAACCAGGAGACTCACAGCTGGGGGGTAGAACCAGGAGACTCAGACCTTTGGGGTAGAACCAGGAGACTCACAGCTGGGGGGTTGAACCAGGAGACTCAGACCTGGGGGGTAGAACCAGGAGACTCAGACCTGGGGGGTAGAACCAGGAGACTCACACCTGTGGTGGTAGAACCAGGACACTCACACCTGGGGGGTAGAACCAGGAGACTCACACCTGGGGGGTAGAACCAGGAGACTCAGACCTGGGGGGTAGAACCAGGAGACTCAGACCTGTGGGGTAGAACCAGGAGACTCAGACATGGGGGGTAGAACCAGGAGACTCAGACATGGGGGGTAGAACCAGCAGACTCAGAGCTGGGGGGTAGAACCAGGAGAATCACACCTGGGGGGCAGAACCAGGAGACTCACACCTGGGGGATAGAACCAGGATACTCACACCTGTGGTGGTAGAACCAGGAGACTCACACCTGGGGGGTAGAACCAGGAGACTCAGACCTGGGGGGTAGAACCAGGAGACTCAGACCTGAGGGGTAGAACCAGGAGACTCAGACCTGAGGGGTAGAACCAGGAGACTCAGACCTGGGGGGTAGAACCAGGAGACTCAGACCTGGGGGGTAGAACCAGGAGACTCAGACCTGGGGGGTAGAACCAGGAGACTCAGACCTGGGGGGTAGAACCAGGAGACTCAGGCTGCGTTTCACTTCTCTTATTTTTCATTTCCTCGCTCCTCGGTCTCGGTCTCACCGGAAGTTGATTTGTCTGCGCCATCTTGAGTAGCGTCCCAATGGCCTTATTTTTGCCGGAGGAGCGAGGAGCGAGGAGCGAGGAGCGATAATGGAGGAGCTATAATCGAGGAACCACCAGACCATCCTTCGATGAAATCCTCAGACACTCGCCCCGCCCCCTTACTGTGTATCGCTCACTGATTGGACGATGCAGCGCATGCAATGATCTGATGCTTCTTGACATGAGAGCAGTTTCCCAGCGGAGTGAAGAAAACACATGAAACTCACGGGACTCACTCCTCAGTTCATACCGTGTTCTGTTTCAATGAATGCATCATTCAGTTACAAATATGTGATATATCTGAACAACAAAGTGGTCAAAAATTATTTTATTCATTTATTGGAAACATTTTCATGATCGCTTTTTCCGTTTTACATGTTCATTTATTGTCATTTCCATTCAGTCAGTCATTAAGTGCTATTTAACATGTTAATGTGCTACATATCCACACAAACAAACAAAGTGTGCAATCCAATGAATGTTAATCTAACTGGGTTTTGATAGATAACATATCTCTCTTTTCTTCTCTGAATTATTTTATTTCTATTGTGCACTCTAATCAATATTAATCCAACTATTGTTCGTTTATACATTTTAAGAATGGCGTTTATCTTTTTTGAGAATGAGTTCTTATTTGATTTTATTTATTTGGGTCTACAACAGATGATACAAATGTTTGTGTCAGTAAATGTGTACTAACAGAGGCGGGGGTGTTTGTGAAAATAACGGGGACAGAGCTGGCTGCTGTCAGACGATCAGCTGTGCAGCGTCATCACAAACAGACGTCGCTTCACGTGACCCTCCGGAGGAAAGGACGTCCCATTGCTCTTAAAACTCATTTCCCTGCTTCTCGTGGTTTCCTTGCGTCTCTCCATGCTTCCCTGGTGGGAGGGACTAAACGCAGGGAAACGACGCAAGTGAGGGACGCAAGGAATCCATTTAACCGAAGTGAAACGCAGCCTCAGACCTGGGGGGTAGAACCAGGAGACTCAGACCTGGGGGATAGAACCAGGAGACTCAGACCTGGGGGATAGAACCAGGAGACTCAGACCTGGGGGGTAGAACCAGGAGACTCAGACCTGGGGGGTAGAACCAGCAGACTCAGACCTGGGGGATAGAACCAGGAGACTCAGACCTGATACAGACGTTCTCGCCGGAAATGTCCTAAAGTGGATTCCCTAGCAAATGCACACTTTGTTGAGCAAAGACTCAAATGTGCACGCTGCAAGGTTTCCACTAAAGACATCTGGGTGGAGCTGTGTCAGATTGTCCTCCTGACGTTATTGAATCACAATTAGAACTTCATGTTCTGATAAGACGTGCATGTGTGTAAACCATAGTCTGTCTGACATTACATTAGTTGGATTTATAGGCATCATTATTTGAGTTTAGAAATCAGCATCACGCTGTAGTTAGCGTCTTTTTGATTGGTTGTTGTGTTCTCTTACCGCTGCACTCATTCAGCTGGAGTGAAACCTGCTTGCTGAGTCTCGTCCAGTTTGTTATCTTGGTGTCGATGATCCTTTTTCTTCCTGACAGTCGGATGTTTTTTCCCTTCAGTTTTGCGTCATCAACACGGCAACTCGCCCGCGTTTAATCCCCCGCTCAATGAGCAGCTGTTCACACACTTGGACCTCAGGTGAAATCTTTTTTTTTATGTCAGGTCTGAACAACTAAGCGATCCTCCCGGGGATTCTCTTAGGGGAATTGTTTTATCTTTGCAGTGCATGTGTGATGGGGGGCATCTGGGTTCCTCCTCTAAGGTCTCTCTGGATGAGGACTGTTTTTTTCCTTTCTCCCTAAATAACTAAAATGCTAATGTGATGTTCCAGTTTCTCCTCGCTGTGCAGCAGAGGCATCACACTCTGAATTCAGGTCAGTAGTGAAGGCAGTCAGGCAGGAAGTCTCGGAGCCGACAAATAAAAAACCTTTATCAGTCAGACACGTTTTACACTCTCCACGTAACGGTGCATCTGATCGATCTAAATTGACCAGTGCATGAGAAAACCTCCTTATAACTTTCACCTTAAAGTGGACCTATCATGCTATATTTGAATAACATAGTGTAGGACCATACCTATATAAGGCATATTTATACTTTTTTTTGTGCAAAATACCAAACAGATCATGCATTTTAGCCATGCCTCATTTTGCTCAATTTGACAATTTTTAGCTCTGTGTTTGTAAGGGCAGATTCAGTGAGAACAGCACCATCTAGAGGCCTGGCATATGTACTACAGCGTCTCCAGCGCTTTCGAACGGCAATGGCCGTGGCTGTCTCCTCCTGATTGGTGGAGTTGGCCCAATAGCCGTAGCGCCACCGTCCTGACGTCAGGACAGTGTTCAAATCTGGATCAGTTTTTATCAGATCCGTTGCAGCCCCTTTTTTAGAGATTTGGGTATGGAGGAAAATAGAGAGGGTTGTGTTTTCTGACACTTGGTGAGTTCCCTGGAACACCGGGGACACATATTCATGTATAAAAGACGTACAAAAGTGCATTTTGCATGATAGGTCCCCTTTAAGTAAAGCAATGTGATGATGATGTGTTTGCTAATTAAATAAAGAACAGAAACACAATCTGACTTTACAAGAAGAAGTGTAGCAGAGACACTTCAGAACAGAGACACTTCAGAACAGAGACAGACACTTCAGAACAGAGACACTTCAGAACAGAGACACTTCAGAACGGAGACACTTCAGAACAGAGACACTTCAGAACAGAGACAGACACTTCAGAACAGAGACACTTCTGAACAGAGACACTTCAGAACAGAGACACTTCAGAACAGAGACACTTCAGAACAGAGACACTTCAGAACAGAGACACTTCAGAACAGAGACACTTCAGAACAGAGACACTTATCATGTTGTTCACCTTTGAGCTGTTTGAATCCCTCCGGTGTCTCCTCTTCCTCTGCCCTAACCAAAGCCAGACCCTTCCACTGAGGTGACCTCCGTCCTGACGCCCACTCACATTTACATTCATACGTTGATGGTATTATAAAGGGGAGAATGTGCAGTGATAACATGAGCTCAGCTCGCTGCACATTCTCCCGCTTATTTCACAGCTACATAATAAATAAACCAACGACTTGACTCACAATATTTATTATTAACCTGTTACGCACCATCCGCCCGGTACCGGGCGGATAAACGCGTCATTTGCAGGAAACAACGTCTAAGGAATCTTAAAATTTAATAAAACTATGAATGTTTTATATCCATGTAACGGGAAGAAACTCAGCTAACTGATCTTTTTAATTTTTTTTCTCAAAAAAAAATCCACAATGCTAACACACAATTAGCCACGAGCGAAAAAATGTAACCTAAAACGGCACTTAAACTCACAATAACTCCCTTATTACTTATCCTAGATGCACAGCCAACCACTTGTTTTTGGTGTCCTGGAGACACAGAATCTGTGTAGAAAACCTCAACACTCAGTGATAAACATTTGCAACGCTATAAACGAAAGCGTACATCATAACATGTGGAGCTAAGTAGCTAGAAACGCTAACATGGCTTACCTTGGTCAAAACTGGTCTTCAATGGCATTAAAACGATAAAAAAACGATGCTGCAGTTAATCCATAGGTTCATCCTATGTATCTGTGTCCTCTTTGAAATTATTTCTGATAATCCATCAGCAATAAAACTGCTTTTTCGTTTCCAAATGCCAGAGCTAGAGATCGCTTCACTCTGCTGCACATTTACATGCGCGCAGCCCCCACCTTTTCTCTTCACAACGTGTGTGTATGTGGGCCTCCCCCTTCGATTCTATTGGCTCTAATGGTCAGAAAGAAGTGTCAACCATCAAAATCGAGCAAGGGGGGCCAGAGATATGGAAAAAAAAACATTTTCACCCAAATCACCTCAGAGGTGGGGTGGTTTTTGCTAAACCTCTCTAAAGAGGTCAAATGTCACTTGTTTTGCATCAATCTTGATACAGGGTACTTATTATATGTTGTACTTTGGATTCCTAAAGCTTTTAGTCTACTAACCCATCATCCAAGGGTAGTTTTCACTATCTGTAAAAAATAATTTTTGGACGGACACTATAATTTACAGTTTTTTACTATGTAAAATCTGAATTTTCTTTAAAATAAAAAACATTTATATTGATTCTGACACTTCTACATCCAACTCACAGATGTAACCTTGCTTTGATAAAAGAAATTATTCATATAACCCT